CTGATGTTAAAAAAAACTTAAAAAGCAAACAAATAATCCCTTTGTTCTCAATATGATCAAAGTTTGGTGCAAAGTGCGGAAATTTCTTGGTGAAAAGCATTCCCTATCATGCTTTAGCCCTATCTGGGGCAACCAAAACTTCACTCCTGGGAAAAATTATCCAGGTTTCTAAATATGGGCCAATATGTTACGAGGTGTGGTGTGTGGACAGAGAGGACCCGAATGCAGCACTCAGAGGGAAGGAGGTTTATTGAGGGAAGTACAGGCACGGGGAACCAAGGAGACAGGGGGCCAGGGAGCCGGGGAACACAGGGGCCGAGGGAGCGAGGAGAGGCGGGGGAACAGGGAGGACGCCGTGAGGGAAGTCCGAAGAGGAGTGGGCCAGTGGATGAGCCCAGCCGAACAAAGGACGAGGGTGAGTGTACCTGGGAGGGAAACAGACAGAGAGACAAGGTTAGGGAAGACAACGACAAGGCACAGGGTAAGTGTGAAAAAACAAGAAACATGGAAGCCTGAACACAGAAGTGGCACCAGGTATGGAGCAACGACGATCAAGCAAGGATGGTGTGGAGAACCGGGGTTGAAATACAGGCAGTCATGAGGTGATTACTGGCAGGTGTGGCAGGCTGACGAGGTGGCTGATGAGATGCAGGTGCAGGTAGTTGGCTGGGCTCAGGAGCAGAGGGAGAGAGAGAGCACACAGGGGAGAAAACACAGGGAGGCAGGCAGGGAACAGAAAACCAAGGAAAAAACAGAAAAACTGAAAAAAAGGAGAAAAAACCAGGACACTCACCGTCAGCCGGGCTGCCACCACAACACAATAAGGGTTTAAGAAAAGTTCAAGATTTGGATAGAGAAAGTGTTCTTATATAATTTGAAGAACTCACAGTTAAATATGATAATTTTTAGCAAACATTTTTTTAAATATTTACAGCTGAGGAGCTTTCTATCTGCATCCCAGAATTAAAATCTGGCAGTACCCCCTTTGTCCATCTTAGAGACTTTGATCTCAACCCAATGTACTGATAAGGGCAGAATTTCAGCTATTTACAATATGCTTGAGTCTAGCTCTGCTGTATCGTCTGTGAACGAACTGAATTCTTAGAGATGGTGTTCAGGAGGACATTTCCTTGGAAGAATGGAGTAGCATTTGTACCAAGGCCCAGACTCAGACTGTGAATACACGGCTGAAGCTTTTACAATACAAGTGGTTAATGCAAAAACATGTGGCCCCTGCTAAGTTAAATTTATTTAATAACACTATCCCAGATACTTGCTACAAGTGTAATCATTCTAAAAGGACCCTGTTTCGTTGCCTGTGGAGAGAAAGAGTTCTGGAGGTATCACATATGACATTCCAAATGGTATCAGTGAAGCTACCTTTCCATCCCAAAGTGTTTATTTGGGGGTTATTCCCAACCAACCTACATTTGAATAATCAGGTACTAACACTTATAAATATATGCTTACTGCAAGCAAAACACTTAATAGCTCTCGTCTGGAAAAGAATGAACAGGCCGAGCATTGCTCATTGGCTCAGAGAGATGTCTTCCTGCGTAACAATGGAAAAGATTACATACATGGTTAGGGGTAAACAAAACACTTTTTAAAAGGTTTGGGGACAATTTTGGGATTTTATTGATTGAAGTGCGGTGAGTGACATATTGGCTAATTAATTGGATTCTGGTTGGCCATATTTTCTTGGCTTGAGGTGTTGGCAGGATTTACTGGATTGTCTTATGACGCTGTGGGTCATCAGAAAGTTGTCCCAATTATTACTTATTCCATCAGATCTAGCCTAATGGCTCAAACTACTATGAAAGGCATCTGTATTTTATTTTTATTTTATTTATTTTTGTGTGTGTGTCCGTGTCTAGAGTCTCTTCTGTTCTATCTTAAGAGGATTTATCTCCTCATAAGTATATATGTGGGTGTATGTATGTATATGTGCATTTTTATATAAGGAATGGGAGGTAATGTTTGACTCCTGAAATGATTATTGCTTTTTGTGTGCTTTGTTGCTGGTTACAGCTGCAGCAGAGGGCATTACACAAATAACGTTTTTACAGATATGAAAACCTCTATGGATCACAAATTCATGATAGAAAGAGTAATAATTGAACTTTTTATGCAGTTTAGGGGCCCTTTAAAAAGTTTTGTAATTGTGGCCTATGGAGAAATTACTTTTTGAGTCACAGGTTAATTTTTTTTTGCTGCAGTGTGTGTGTGTGTGTGTTTGTGTGTGTGTGTGTGTGTGTGATAAAAGCGATGAAATCTTCTTTGTGAATTTTGACAAATAAAATAAAGGTTTCACAAATTTATTAAGGCTTTACCTAAAATGTAACATGCTTTCCACAGTTTCCATTAACTTTCTCCTTTTACTGCCAAATCAGAAGCTAACTTCAGCGTTGTAACATCAGTTGCCACAGGATGGATGAAGATGGAACCCCAATATTTAAATCATTCATACATGTATGGTTATCAAGAGTGTTAAAAATATTTTTTACTATAGGGAGGCAATCTTCTTACCAACTTATCCAGAGAGAAAAGCTACAAAATTGCTTCAGGGGAGGCTCAGTAAATTAAAGTGAAAAATATTACATTAGTTATTACCTTAATTATCCAAAGGAGATCACATAGAATAGGCTAAATGTTTGTGATTTGGTTAAAGTGATAGTTTCGGAGAGACAGTGGTTTGGTGGAAGTTTACTGTCTTCAATTTCTATTGGAATGTGTAGAATTCTACAATACATAAACTATTTAGGCAAAATAATTATTGAATTCAGGTGTTCTAATCACTTTCATGGCCATAGATGTCTAAAATCAATCACCTAGGTATGCAGACTGCTTCTACAAAAATTTGTGAAAGAATAGGTCACTTTCAGGAGCTCAGTGAATTCAAGCGTGGTACCATCACAGGTTGCCACCTGTGCAATAAGTCCCTTTGTGAAATTTCCTCACTACTAAATATTCCACGGTGAACTGTTTGTGGTATTATAACAAAGTGGAAGTAACTGGGAACAACAGAAACTAAGCCACAAAGTGGTAGGCCACATAAAATCACAGACCTCTAAATGTTGTGTGGCCTTCAGATAAGCTCAAGAACAGTGCATAGAGACCTTCATACCAAGTGCAATGCATAGCGTCGGATGCAGAGGTGTAAAGCACGCTGCCACTGGACACTAGAGCAGTGGAGACGTATTCTCTGGAGTGCGGAATCACGTTTCTCTGTCTGGCAATCTGATGGACAAGACTGGGTTTGGCGGTTGCCAGGAAAACGGCCCCTTCCTGTTCCAACATGACTGAGCACCAGCGCACAAAGCAAAGTCCATAAAGACATGGATGAGCAAGTTTGGTGTGGAGGACTTGACTGGCCTGCACAGAGTCCTGACCCCAACCTGATAGAACACCTTTGGGATGAATTAGAGCGGAAACTGCAAGCCAGGCCTTCTCGCCCAACATCTGTGCCTGACCTCACAAATGCGCTTCTAGAAGAATGGCCAAAAATTCCCATGAACGCACTCCTAAACCTTGTGGACAGCTTTGTTCATATATCATTCATAGCCTGAAATATGGAACATTTTATTCCCAAAAATAGGTAAAAAAAAATTTTGATTTATGAAATAATAAAAAGAGATATCCAAAATCCCCTCTGTAAAAACAATTGAGGATCAACAAAATAAAACAATCATTTTTAACCTGTCTTAATCCAGTGTTCTATTCTATTAGTTGTTGTTTTTTTACCCTATTCACCTGCCGTGTCTCGCCTGAACGCCGACTCAACTAACCAACTTATTCACTGTCATAGTACCATTTAACACCCCTGTAAGTGATCAGAGTTTGTCAACCCTGACTTTGCTTCATAAACTTGAGTTAAGTCTCAGTAGGTTAAAATCCCTTCCTAGTACAGGCCACTGCTGAGCTGCTAATGAACCAGAAGATCAGGATCCAGCTGGACCCGGTGTGTCCTTCACTGACTTGGAAGGTTCAATGGAATCAGGTCAAACAAAAACGCATCATAGCAGGCTTGCCCAGGGCAGAGTCTGGATCTGAATCGGTCTATGGGAGAGGGTACACAGGCCAGAGAAGGATTGTGGAAATACTCGTTGAAAAATCACTAGTATCAGATTAATCCACATTATAATAAGAGATCTGTTCTAGGGACTCAACCACACAGGAGACAAAAAAACACTGAGCCAGAAACTCCAGTACAGAAGGCAGTTGGTCTTGGGCCCTTGAAACAGGGATCAAAAACAGAAACATGCTATCTTGGAGCTGGGAAAGCACCTAAGTATCTCAAAGATTATATACAGGGAACCCTTGGGTGTCTCAAGGAGGGGCAGTCTACTTCTGCCTCGTAGTTCAGATTTAGTTTAAATTAAGGAAAAATTATTCAAACTCATAGATGCTATGGACATTGCAGTTTGTAGACTAAGGGGAGGGATGCTGCAATGTTAACATTTCTCTCAGTTAGCCTTCAGAAGGTGGAGCTGATGACTAGGGAGAGTCTAGAACGTTGTTTCAAAATAAGGAAGTGATTTTGAAGAGTGCAATCCCACACACAATATTCCAGACCAAAATGTGAGCAGGTTGTATTGTGTTGTTAGTGTGTTGTATTGTTGTTCTATTCATAGCAGAACACCAAAAAAACATGAAAATCGGTGTCTCAGTTGTCTCTGTCTTGGTGTCCCTTCACCTTCAACCATTACCCTGCCTCCTGGAGCAAGGGAAAACTCTGCAAGCTTTTAATGTTATTGTTATGTTTGTGATCCAAAGGGACCTTTGACATCCCTATGGTGTAAGTAGATGGTAATAATAATCACCACTACAACTAATTAGGTGAAAATTTATAATAAAGTGGCATGCTTAAGTACCAGAGAAGACTATAGAAGTGGAGCATCAGAGCAACACATGCTTTTGATATTGCTCATCAGGCATAGTAAAGTGCAAAAAGGGAAAGAGTTACTGAAGACACAGATTGATGATGGATTCTTCTAATAAAATCTTTTATTTGATTTTAATCATGTAGGCTAATATTTCTTTTATTCACCATATGTCTCAAGGTCTCTCTGTCAGATCAACATCTGAGGAATATCAAATATAACAAGATCAAGCAGATGAAAAGGAAATGAGAAAACCAGTCAGGAAGAGAAAAAGACATTAATTTTTAATAGATTTAGCTCACTTCATATTTCATTTTATAGAATAAATATTCATTTTTTTTCTAAACCAATAAACCACCTAAAACCCTTTTATTTAATATGTTTTCCATCATGAGAATATGGAAAGGTTTTCACTTCTGGTATACACAAAAAATGGTTTCACTGTAATTAGTACAGTTCTTAAGACATTAAGTGCTCCTCTGAATTATGGGTAAAAGGAACCTTGGGAAAACAAGCAACAACAAAGTTCATGTTGAGTTTAAGAGTATTTCCTTATACCTTACTTACACACCAACAGGCATGAGTATAAAAGAACTTTTATTGGAAGAGAAGGAGGGTTTGCCTAAAAGTCATAATGCAAAAAGGCTAAATTCCTTCATGATGGATGTAACAGCAGTACTGTCATATGAAAGGAAATAATGATTTAAAGGCATTTTCACTTATAGTTTTCTTTCTTATGTCACAATTTTTCTTATGACAGCATTTATTAACATAACAATCAGCAAAGCAGTCCATGTGATTTTCAATAACATAGTCAAGTAGGTAATCGATAGCATCTGAATGTTGATGCAAACATATCGCAGCACCCCTGCTACAGTATAGGCCTACATGCACTCATCTGCAGTCAGTCCCACTTTCCATTTCCAAGCCAGCAATTCTGCATTAAGAATTAATCATAACCTAGTGATGGCTTTTATGTCACATTGAAAAATGAGTTATGAGTCTTGATGAATTCCTCTTATGTGTGCAATGATTTAATGACTTTGTTTTTATAGGATTTTGTTGAATAGTTCATAGTTTTATCTAATGAACTGCCCTGGTACGATGGCCTTTGCCTGATCTCAAAACATACTAAATAAAGATGGCTAATTGGGCAATTAGCTTCAAGATATTAAATGAAGCATGTCATGAAAAGGTTAGTTGTATCCTTGAATGCCCCGATCGTCCACTAAATAAAGAATTGACCTCCTTCCTCCATGTCGCTGCTGGAATAATTCTGACACATATGGGTCTCTTTTCTTTCAGTAGCAATCAGAAGTTTGGGTCTTTTGTTTAACATGTACTATAAGAACTGCATTCTCGCCAGAACTTTACTTTGTGTTTTACATTGCATCTGTTTTACACCTGGGTCCTAATCCTAAATTCTTTGCTCTTATGTTTGTAGGCTTTTTAAAAAAATCAAATTTTAACTATTTTAACAGGTCACCTCGTATGTTGTTATGTCAGGCTTTCATGTACTGTTGTGTTGATAAAATATAATTGAGATTAATGTGATGAAGCAGTTTTCAAACATGAGATTATTTTTTTATGATAAATGTCTACCTCAGCATATATGCACTTTGCACCTTCACAAACCGGATGATTCCAGGACACACTGATGTTCCACATTTATAAGTTCACACTGAACACATTGCTTCTGAAACAGTTCTTGGACAAACACAGGTGCTGTCCTGTACACTCAATCTGAGTGGACGCTCAGGCAGACATTCACAATATTACACAAAGACATCAGGGTTTGTGCACTTAAAACTTCTTAGAACAGGAGTACTGATTAAGGACCTCTCATTAGGTCAATAGCTTACATGAACTTTGTATTTTATTCATGAAATGCACCCAGTGAGACCGTTAGGATGTCTTAAGGCCAGTAAACAAATGGTAGACTCACCTTCTTTATAGTTTAACTTTACAAGAAACAGTGGCACTACTTCCAGCAGAAAAGAGAATTGTTTTATGACCAAAGTTTTGGGGTTGTATGTGCATTGAACCATCTGTGCATCTTAAAACCACTGGGCTTGATATAAAACTGCAACTCTATGATTTCCATCCAGCTGCAAATATGAATTAACTTATTAACGTTTAACCATTTGGGTTTTTGTAAGTGTTTTTGTCTTTTTCTTCAAGAAAAGAGAAACATGTAGCTAAGTCAAATTTGTGTTTTAAGTATTTAAGTACAATAATAACCATCCATTACTGTTTTCAAAACATTTATATCAATGTCACACAAGTCAATAAACCCTTGTGTACACCCAAACAATATTGCAAGCATAAATGCTTCCCTCTATTGCAGATACATCAAGGTAAACATTTCCATCTACATGTTACATTGCCATAGATGCAACTTATTTCATGTTCAATTGGGTTAAACTAAAAATTCATATACTAATATGTGATATGAAAATAAACTGAAGAACTTGTGAAAAGTGACGTGGTACTTCGATATGGTATAGATGCTTGAAATAACTGATACTGATATAGCCCGTTGAAACTAATGGTCTATAAAAGGAGATAAGATACATGATGTCCTAATACTGTACATGCTCATATACACTGTGGTTTATACTTAACCATCTGACAGGAAGCATTTGTTCCTCTCAGGAAGCACAATAATGCTACTTTTTCTCTCTTCTCAGTTGATGCTGATTCACAAAAAATGTCTAATCCTGGAAAAAATTACATTTCCATATTTAGTATATCCTATTGACATATCTACAAAGATGCATGTAGTTACTTTGGACATCATCAATAGAGGATAGCATTTTTTTCTAAAAAATTTGTTCCATTCTGTTCCATCAGAGGCTGCAAAACACCAATGGTGTCCGAAAAGAAATCAATCAGAGGGTAACCAGTGGGTAAAGAAGATTAGTCCGTTTTACAGTACAAACATCAAAAATCAGTCTTAAGGAGTACCACCTTTGTGTGCCTCTGTTGAAGACCAATGCACAGTTAACCATCTCCAGCACACAAGGGGGCAGAGTTAAATCTAGAACTCAAACACGTCGTTCTGCTTCTTCGCCAGCTTGGCCACCTCCTGCCTGATAGCCTGCACGAGTGCAGAGGTGGAGAGGCTACTCAGGTGCATGCTGTCCATGTCCTTCACCACCTCGGGCAGGCTTTGCTGAGAAGCTGTGCTAGGGCCAGTGGGCGGCGGCTCCAGTGCCTGGTTATACTGCAGGGGCAGCCTGGTGGGGCTCCCCTGTGGGTAGCGAGGATGAGGAAAAGCCTCTACATACCCAGGCAGGGGCAACTGGAAAACAGGGTAAATATGATATCAGTAACACAGTAATTTCAAATTATTATTACCCACGTAAATAGTGGCTGCCAATTACATAATTAGAAGGATACAGTATATGTGATAGTCCTTTTTTTGCTGAGTGAACATTTTCTCTTGCACCACTATTTTAGAAAGAATTAAATGGGTGAAATATAAACAATTGTATCTGAGAAAATCATTCAAAAATTAACCAAAATAATAGAAACTAATGAGTGTGGAGATCTACTGTACGAGTATATGATACTGAAATGGATTTTGGTTCAAACAGTGTTTGAACTCCGAAATGGACTACTTTTGAATGTTGATACAAAATCTTAAGTGTCAGATTTGCACCACAGGAAAAAAAAAGTAAAATAGGTGTTCATTTAGGAAATGTGCTCAACTACCCCGGTATATTGTTGTGTCCACTCAACGGCAGCCATAAATTCAGATCAGCAAATGGTTTCTAAATGACACTGGTTCTGCAAAAAGACAGTGTGTGAGGGCATCTGGTTGAAACAGGCAAACAGACAGGGAAAAAAAGAGAACATTCCATACAAACAAGGAGAGTCCTGTGCAGGGGAGGGGAGGGGAGTCACATGGGTTATAACAGATCTGACAGGACAAATGGGACCCGTCTTATTTCAATAAAAAACAGCTGAGAGGATAGGAGGATGTTTAAAAAATATTGTTTGATGAGTCCCAGTCATTGTCAAGGGTAAATAGGAACAGGAAAAGACCTGTCAGTGCCATAGTGAAAAGGATAATATTTTAATTCAGAGAGGCAATCTCACCAACACATTACAGATATATTCCTTCCAAATCAAAATGTTCATTCCTTTTCAGCTCTAGCTGTTGCAATCCTGTAGCTCACTTTCTGGCTCCGTGAGATGACCAGACGTTAAGTGGAAAACAAACTTCCTGACAACCAGGAGGTAACAACAATAACAACATTTCTTTTCAGTTTTACTAGTCTGTCTTTAATTATTTAATAAAAAAGCATTAAATTGTCTTCTTGTCTGTACTATATAAAGCCAGAACACTGGCCTGAAGGAATTTAAATAACAATACAGACTGACCAAACGATTACTACACTAACAACAATTAGAAACAAAGAGTTCTCTTATGTTTAGATCAATTATCTATCCTGTTTAGGGTCTCGATATAGCATTAATTCTGCAAGAAATGTCACAATAGCCACATTGAAAAATAGCCACTCTGAAAATTAAAGGTCTAATTATTAAGACAAAGAGCTGTTGAGTCACTGGGACAAATGCTTGAAAACGGGGACTGTCCTAGTTTAATGAAGACATCTGGCTACATTACTTTACCGCTATAAATTGCTCATCTTTCAGTTCTTTATTTTTAAATTCTTTAGTAGGACCGGGTGTTTCTAAAGCACACAAAACAGTCTTCCTTACAGAGTCGGCCCACTGTGGCGGCACATCCTCAGGCTCTGGTGGATAGGACATCCAGGAGGGACTGTGGTAGGAGGTGGGTGGTGTGGAGACAAAGTATTCTGAGTAGCCGGACCTGGTGGCTGGGATGGCATAGACGGCTGTTATTGGGTTTCCTACACAGAACAGAAGAATTCTATTTTCAAGGGGATGCTTTCATTCAAGATTTTAATTCAAGATGAGAATTACTATTCTTGCAAAATGTATGTTGTCATGGAAGTAAAGACCATTATGGGTTACTTCTAAAATGCTAAGTCAGCTCCCCATATGCTTACCTGAGTAGTTGGACACAGGCTGCTCTGCAGTGATAGATGGAAGTGCTGCTCTAGTAGTTGGCCCATATGGGTTTTTGTCATGTTGACTCTGCATTTCAGTGACAGATGTCTCTGAGCTCCTTCCTTTAGGCCCCACGTCAGAAGTGGAACTAAGTTGTACAGAGATTGGAGATGAATAAAAGCACAGAGTTACTGGATACTTGGTCAGTACCACTAGATGGCAGGCACACTCCATGTGAAAAAGTGAGTACCTTATTAACATTCTTACCATCACTCAATGCACTAGTTCAATATTCAAATTTATACAAGGCCTAAAATCACCCTGGCCACAGCACATTACCTAGTGAATATCTAGTCCCTGAATATGAATTTGAATGTGAATAAATGTGGACTATCTGATGGACTCTGGGAAGTTACAGACAATGTGTGTATGCCTGTGTCTGCCTGCATCTGTCTATGTGTGTGTGAAAGACTTTTTTTTACCGTCTTAAGGAGGTCCCAGGAGGAGGTCCAGTGCGAGGTGGTAAAGGTGGAGGAGAACCCATGGCCATCTCAGGGAGCTGGGTGAAGTGAAAGGCCTTAAAAAGATAGTGGAAGGCATTTAAGGTTACATAAACTCTAACACAGTTCTTAAGAGAGGGCAAATTTCATCATCACACTTACTGGTTTGGGCAGGCTGCATTGATATACGTCTGTGCCATAAGATGGTACCCACTGCAAGCCTCTCCGTCCACAGCTCATTGTACCTGGGGCGCTGGTCACCACGTCTGCGTAGGGGAGGGGAGGCGGTGCAGGGCTGTAGTGGTCAGGAGATGCGTGGTGGTGATGGGAGTGCCTTCCGGATGTGGACTGCCCCCCTGAAGCCAGGCTGAATGCCTCCTCCAGCAGCAGGTGCATCTGCTGTCGCACTTCGTCAATGGACGGCTGAGAGCTCAGAGTAGATGTCTCTGAGTGGCCTTTCAAGCCCCGGCCATACATGTATCCCCGCGGCCCCATTAGACGGTCAACATTCGTCTCTTCGATCAACTCAGGTTCAGTCTAAAACATATACAAAGAGATACACCACAATGAATTGGCAACATACATCTCCACACTTTTTTTTTGACATTGCTAATATATAGAAATAGTGTATGCTAATATATAACAGAATGGGATCTGATTCATATCCAAACACTGTTACAAAAAACACCTGTCATACATACAAGAATAAAAGGATATGACACTTGGGCACAATTTTACCGAGTGAGGCATGTTCTGATTTACATCTGGATTAAATATTACAAAATTAAATAACTCTCCTTATTGAGTTAGTGGGACATTAACACTTACAACATGAGATAGCTGGCAAATCTCCTGTCATTCTCTCAGTGGGTTACTGACAAGGTGCTGGCTGAGCTAGAAGAGACTATAAAATGTTACTGAGAGTTTCTGAGACAAATCAGCTGGAAAATTTTGATCCAGCTGTGTAACTGCTGGTCACAGTAAGTGCAGCAGCAGAACCAGACAGTTTGTTTCAATGAGTGTTAACCTGCACTTTTCTGCACTTATACTATACTTATACACTTAAATCTCTTTTACTCTTCTCTTACCTCCACTATATACAATACTTACAATACTGTATAACCATCATCATGTCTCCCCTTTTTATTACTATATATTACTAACCTGCTCACTCACCCCTCAGACCACCCTCCTTTCCCTCTTTCTTCCTCTCCCAGCCTCTGTTTCCATCTATCCAGGCCTCACATTCAATGATAAATGAACATATGAGTTGAGGCTGCCCTACTTCCTAGGCGAATAGAGGGTAGTCACAGGAGACCTAGCATGGTGCACCTCATAAATCAGCCCCCCGTGCAACATGGAACAGCAAAGAAAAGTGATGGGGCCTGCAGCTACACTATTCCCATTGTAATCAACAGGGCCGGGAGTTCTGAAAAAGGGCAGTGTAGCTTGTACTGGCTATTGTGCCATGTTACAAACAGAGCTGAACAGTTGGCTATACAAGATTTAGCCACAGCAAGTACAAAGTGACTAAGAGTCATGGCAATGGGAGGCCAGAATCAGGGAACTACTAAACAGAAAATCTCAGTTTGTAGATCTTGTCAAAAGTCTTCTATAACATTATATCTCAAATTTATCAAATTCAGAGCTGTGGCATTTTTTCATGGTACCATCCTGTTGCCCCACAATCATTATTTAGCACAATAGGCTATTTTCACAACAGACATTTGGCAATAGTATGAAAAGCACAGGTTTACATAATAACATTTATTTTTAAAATAAAATGGCAGTGAGCCAGCACAACATTATCACAGCCAGTAACACCGGTGTATTTCCTGCTGTGACTGGTCAAAATGGCTGGCAGGTCAACAGCAGTTCAGTGAAATATTTCTTTCACTGCTCATATTTTTTACAGAAGGATAGCTTAGAATGAAAACACTTTTTAGGTATTGTCTGCTCGATTACTGTTGGGAGCTCACATACTAGTATTCATGACAGAAAGAGCCATACACAGAGCCATAATGGAACAATAAAAGAGCCGAGCCATATACCAGCCATCATGAGATGCATTACTTATGAAAACCCTTATAAATCTTAACTCTTAATTATGAATGAACCACTTCTCTTCCTTCAGCTTGCTGTGGCACACTTGAAACTACACCTGAGAAGAATATGTCTGGTTTCTAGCTCAGTGGCTGTGTCTTAAATAGGGCAATAAGGCACAGATTTAACACTGACAAGTTCATCTGTCTTACCAGATTGAAAACAGTGGCACTAGGTTTAATTTGGTTAAAATTATCATCTGGTAACAAGCACTTAAATGAACAAATATTTGTGTTTGAATTGTACATCTATAGCATCATTAATACATATAATAATTTAAATTTTAAAGTGTATATGTGATTCAGAAGTTAAATCTACCATTGCTAATACTTCACTTATGCAGTAGTCTTCTACATGTTTACTGCAAATGACCTAATATTATTTTTAAAAGTACCAACACAGTGATGCTCTGTCACTCACTGTCAGAGTAGGTGCTACTTTCTCAAAATGTTAAACATGGCAACTTGTTGGAGACAGGGTCAGTAGGAGTTGACACGTGACTCACATCATATCCGTTGTTGCGAATGCCTCTCCTTGGTCGCTCCCTCATAACAAGCAGGTCCATCTCTGTTCCTCCCGGACTGGGACTGCTGAGACTCTGTCTGCTGCGATAGGCCGTTTGCCCTACCTGGGAGTGCCTGCCAATTAGAGTAAAGAGTGGGTTCAGTACAAATCAGTCCTGGGGTATAGTTGTTATGAAGTAAAATAATTTCAGTTCAGCTTTCTTAATTTCAGCCTTGTTTTCAGAGTGCTTGCAGTGGAAGGTGGGTGGGAAGTGGAGGTGGTGGAGAACGCAGTGGTGGGGGATGTACAGTTGCAGGAAAAAGTATGTGAACCCTTTGGATTTACCTGGATTTCTGCACAAATTGGTCATAAAATGTGATCTCATCTTCATTTAAGTCACAACAATAGACAAACACAGTCTGCTTACACTAATACGACACAAACAATTATAAAAATTCCTCCTGACCGTTGTTCAGCTCTGACCTGCAGAAATCCAGGTAATTCCAAAGAGTTCAAATACTTTTTCCTGCGACTGTATTTGATTTCCTTTCAAAAAGAGATGAAATAGTTGAGATACAGACCAAATAGATACAGTATGTTAGGATATATCATAAGGATATGATGATAATTAAAGTTTATGATCTAAACTTTAGATAATAATGTTGTGGCATCTGCCAGGTATGATGATATCCTGCATAGCAAAATTGAATACTGAAGAAAGCTTGTAGTAAAACAAAACAATGTACAAATGACAAAGGACAAGATGCATATCATATCAGCCACACACCTATTTTGACAGCAAATAGCTGCTTAATATCTAATCTTGCTATCTGTGGTGGGACATAAAAATAGCAAGTCCATTCATCCATTTGCTAAGTCAACACACAATCCAAAATTCAAATGTTGCTTTCCGCTCTGAAGGCAGCTAGTGTAATGTCTGTAATAATCAAAGACTCTGTCCATATTTATGTTCATCTGTAAAGCAGAAGCAAGACAGAACCAGCATAGTGGACCGTGCAACACCCCACCAATCCTCTTATCTCCTTTATGGAAGCTCAGGACTTGGATCAAACTAATCAGACAGGCCTGATGGGTCTGTCACTGCCTACAAAGACAGGATAACGACAACATTAGAGGAGACAGTCTTCCTAATTATGTAAGGCAGAGGTCAGCAAGGATGTATAAAAGGGCATGTTTAGAAGCCTAATCAACCAGTATGAAATGCCACGTCACATGCAGCACTTTTTGACTGCTCGAATTGTATCCTCACACCCTTATGTAAGCATGGCTTTTCTTTTCTGTTTACACTCAGCCAAACCCAGGTTCCACTTGCTATTCCACTCTCCCCTCACCTCCTGTGAGACTTGACATAAGTGGAACCTCGCTCATCATCAGGCTCCAGTGGTCTGCCATGCTCACCGGCTGCCCTCTCATTGCCGTGCCGCTGTCTCTGCGGCAGAGCTCGACCGCTGCTGCTGCCATCAGTGGAGGGAAAGTCATAATAGCCCTTCCTCTTTGCCTTCAGCCTCAGCTTGTTCCTGTAGTGCTCAATGTCTGACTTCTGCTTCAGAGCCAAGTTCACCTGCAGAGAGGAAAGAGTGCAGGACGCAAACAAGAAACATGGGGAGATGAGAATGAAAGCAGGCGCAAGGTTCTTCTTGCTGTATGTGGTAAGATTCTGCTTTGTCTTAAAAGGCATGTGGGGATGAAAGATCAGAGGGTTCATGAGAATAAGAAGCTCTGAAAATAAAACTCTTATGCAATCATCACAGTCAGAAAGATTCAGAACATATTCATTATTTTCCATGTTTATTATATCGCTTCAAAAAGAGATGACAAAATAATGAAAATAAAGAATGAAAAAATTCAAAAGTGTTGTGCATCATGTTATTCAACCTGTTGTTTCCAGTTGTTGAACTCCTGATCAGTTTACTGGATGTATTATATAATTTTATAATTTTATGGGGAATAACAGCTCATAATATATATTAAAACAGAGAAACGTCAGGAATATGTTTGTGATTATAAAATGCCCCTTTCGAGCTTTAAACCCTACTTTTTTAACACCTGATGTAATCTTATGTGGTCATCTGATGTTAGAGCTTTATCAGGTGAAATCTACAATGCCAAATCTACTCATCTACAAGGACTGTACATTTTCTTCCATGATTATTTCACATTTATGTCAGAGTGGGTCATCTTTTAAAGCTCAAGAAGTATTTCCCTGTGACATTAAATATTCAAGTTTAGATAAGCAGTGGGGGAAAAACCCTCTTTAGTTATTATTTATTAAGTGTTTAACACTGAAAATGTCAGCTCATCTGCTTCATCAGGACTGTTTCCTTCTGGTTAAATCAGATTTGATTCAGTTCTGTCATAAGCAAACTACTCCACACCTGTCATTACAAATGCTGCTTAACTGTGTTTGCTGCACAGAAATATATGACTTTTTTCAAGCAAAAAACACAAATAAAGACATTTCTCATAACCAAAACAGCTCTAACAAACTTAAATTGGTTTTCAGGGCATTTATACATTTTTGTATCTGTGTTAATGTGTACATATCTAGGGTTGTGTATATACACTCACTGGCCACTTTAGTAGGTACAGCTGTTTAATTGCTTGTTAACAACAATAGCTAATCAGCCAATCACATGGCAGCAACTCAATGCATTTAGCCATGTAGACGTGGTCAAGACAAATTGTCAAAGTTCCAACCGGCATTAGAATGGGGACGAAAGGGGATTTAAGTGACTTTGAACGTGACATGGTTGTTGGTGCCAGAAGGACTGGTCTATGGAGTATTTCAGAAACTGCTGATCTACTGGGATTTTCACGCACAACTATCTCTAGGGTTTACAGAGAATGGTCTGAAAAAGAGAAAATATCCAGTGAGCAGCAGTTGTGTGGAAGAAAATGCCTTGTTGATGTCAGAACAGGCAGACTGGTTCAAGATGACAGAATCAGAATCAGCTTTATAAAGACAATAGGAACTCAAATAACCACTCGTTACAACCAAGGTATGCAGAATACCATCTCTGAACACACAAGACATTGAACCTTGAAGCAGATGGGCTACACCAGCAGAAGACCACAACGGGTATCACTCCTGTCAGCTAAGAACAGGAAACTGAGGCTACAATTCGCACAGGCTCACCAAAACTGGACAATAGAAGATTGGAAAAACGTTGCCTGATCTGATGAGTCTCGATTTCAGCTGCAACAGTCAGATGGTAGGGTCAGAATTTGGCGTAAACAACATGAAAGCATGGATCCATCCTGCCTTGTATCAATGGTTCAGGCTGGCGGTGGTGGTGTAATGGTGTGGGGGATAGTTTCTTAGCACACTTTGGGCCCCTTAGTACCAACTGAGCATTGTTTACACATGACAGCCTACCTGAGTATTGTTGTTGACTATGTCCATCCCTTTATGACCACTGTGTACCCATTTTTTGATGACTAATTCTAGCAGGATAATGCACCATGTCACAAAGCTCAAATCATCTCCAACTTGTTTCTTGAACATGACAGTGAGTTCACTGTACTACAGTGGCCTCCACAGTCACCAGATCTCACTCCAATGAAGCACCTTTGGGATGTGGTGGAACTAGAGAATTGCATTATGGATGTGCAGCCAACAAATCTGCAGCAACTGCGTGATGCTATCATGTCAATATGGACCAAAGTGCATATTGATATGATAGCATTTCCAACACCTTGTTGAAAGTATGCTGCAAAGAATTAAGACAGTCCTGAAAAGCAAAAGGGAGTCCAACCTGGTACAAGGTCTACTTAATAAAGTGGCTTGCGAGTATATATATGCATGTAAGTCTGTGCATCTCTCTAAATGGATGTGCGCACATGCATCACCTCTCCGTTGACGATGGCAGAGTCCTGGCTGCGGTCAGTGGAAGCCGGGTGTGAGTAGTTGGGCTGAGCCGCCATGGGCTTTATGGAAATAAGCTGCAGGGAGCCAGAGGAGGTGTCATATGGATCTGAAGAACAGAGAGGGAGTTCACTCACAAAAGAGAATACAAATACCTCTAATCATTACATTGTCAGTCAAAGGGGAGCAAAGTGTCACACTCCCTCTTTGTCTCGCTGTCTGCCCCCCCATCCCCTCTCTGTCTCGCTCTCATCACCTTGTCTCTCTGCGGCTGTCAGCAAATGAAGTGGTGGACGGAGACAACAGATCACAAAGATAGCGTTGACTTCAAAGCTTGTGCCAGTGCATCTCTGTGATAGATGAAAGAAACTGACTTTGCACTTTCATTCCTTATCCAACATCAGACAAACTGGATTCAATTCTAGTTTCCCTTAACTCAGCTGATGAATTATTCAAATCCACCCATTAAGAAAATCATAATCTAGCGAGCTCGTTCCAATTTACAAGCAGAGTATTTGAATGTGATTAATTTAACTCACACCCACCACATGTTGATCATTTAGCTTCTGTGGACAAGAATAGAACAGCGAATAGTTCAACATCTGAGCGGATTTATTTTAACACAAGTCAAGACTTCATTGGTCTTTCTGCATTTTTGCATTAGTGAGTATGTGTTTCTGCCACTGTGTCACAGCATCCACTAGTCTGACATACTGTATCATGTCAGCAGAGTGTCTGTCTCATGCATATTCATCAGGTCCATCTCTGCTTACTGCCAAGTGGCTACCTTTCTGGCATAAAAAAAAGCTGCAGTGCCACATTCCCTGAGAATGGGAAAAGATATTTTGCATTTGTGATACACCTGACCTTGTCTGCAAAGAAGCTGTAGAATAAATAGTTTGTATTTGCATCAGAGTGTGACTCTCACCGTCCCTCCTGCGCATCTCCTCCTTTGTCAGTTTCTGCTGTGCTGTGACTTTCAACACTGTCAAGCCCCTGCCGGAATTCAGCTTCTCTGATTCGTTGCTGATGACGGAACCGTCCTCGCTCGGCAACTTGCTGCAAGTAACCATAGCAACAGGAAAGGCGGTGAGCTCTCCGGAAGCTGGGCTCGCAGCCAGGTTATGTCATCCCTCTCTTTAACAACCTCACCTTCCTCTCTGCATCCCCCAAGCTTCAGTCCAGAAAACACAATGTTTTATTATTGTTACTGGGTTTTTTTTTGCAGAATGTAAACATGAGTGTTCATTATTAAAACCATCATTACACACTGCCTGGTTTTGAAGAATATCAGTAGAACAAGTCCTTTGGGTCTGAATAGTCGGTGAAATGGTAGAGAAAGCCAGAAAAATCAGCTGATTGAACCATAACTGCCACAAAACCAAAAAAGACCACAAAAATCTAAAAGGCATTAGCTGGTTAGGTTTCAAATTTTATATTAATAATGATCAAATCTTGCCACATGGTGACTGCCAAGTGATGATTGTATGTGTGTTTGTTAGTACATGTATCTGCATTATTTTCATGTTCATGTGTCTCTGCTACATATGCATTGTAGTCGTTCTCCTGCATATCTGTCACGTCCGTCTCAAAACCAGTGTGTGATCATGTCCAGAGTGAAGCAAGACTAGCTCCATTAGCTGGACAAACAATTGCTATATCCAATTCTTGTTTCACTGGATTCAAACGCTGCACTGTAGTTGGAATTAGAGCTGATCAAGCGGCAGCTCAGAGGACCACGAGGCTGAAAGTGACATCAAAGCACCACGGTCTATCCCCTAATTGTCTGGTAAAAATGATAACAGCAAAGAGAGACGGAGGAGCAGCGGCTGCACTCCCTGCTCTTGTTGAGGCAGTGCTGCAGAGAGGCTGCTCCATGCAATGGTCACAGGCTCAACAAAGACGTGTAATGTGTAATAATCCATTGAGCTGTACAGAATATGTTCACATTGGCTATTTGCGAGGGTTGTATATTTAATCCTGCGTTGGTGTTTAGAGGATCACAGTTGTGCGATCTTGTTGCAAGTGAAGGGATGACTTCAGAGAGGAAGAAGCAATATTTTTCAAGTTAAATTATAACTTATACAAATTTAACCTCACAGCGCCATTCCACACATTTCTCTTCTCTTCAATCTGGCAGGGTTTAGCAGGCACTTTGGGACAGATGTTATTTCAAACAGGTTGCACAACAGATTAATGGCAATTTCACCTTCATTAAGAAGTCAACATCAACTTTGTACCTATACCTGATCGAATGCATTTGCTCATCTGTCAGTGGTCTTGGCATGATATAGAGCTAAAATCGTGTTGCACTTGCAGGATAGTTGCTTTTCCTCTAGCTATAGCATATGTTGCAGAGTAGCCAATAGCTGTGATGTTTTCTCTAAGCTAAATGTATATCTACTATTGTAAACTGGGAAAACACAGTTACTGTTCCATAGATTTTCCTAAATTCTCCAAACTACTCTTCACTAAAATTAATTTTAAGTAAAACTGAGGCTAAAAATACTCAATGCACATAATTTTTGTAAACTGTTCACTTGGTTCAGGTGTTTTGACACTCAGCATAGTTCACTGATTGATATGACGAGAATCCGTTGGTCTTCTATACATTCATTGATTCATTGGATATGTTCCACATATTCACAATGAAAACTGAGCTTGTCAGATGTGGTTTTGCAGCTAGTAAATGATAACCAGACTCAAGCTAATCTTTGAAAAATGTACTACTATTTCACAATATATCTAATCTCTTTCTAATCATTTTCATTTATGACGTTCCTATGTTAAATGTCCCGGGATAATAGCATATATAGACTTGATGTCACAAAAAGATAGGAACCTGTAAGACCAATAGTTTGATATTTAAGAAATGAAAAACTTTAGCTGCCTCAGGAGTCTCCAGAATCATTAGTGCAGGACCTGAAGTCTATAGATTCCCTATTCTGTCACATACTTTTCATTTGATCTCATTATCCTGCATGGCTTTGAAAAATTACGCCCTTTTGCGTTCCTCAATTAAATAATTTAGCATGATTTAACATGGCAATTAATTTCTGAAAAAGCGCTACTGACTGTCACATGAGGAAAACGGTCAATTTCACCTGCCCATATAGAGAACTCTGTTAATGACCACCTATAATTCAGCAACTGGGCAGAATGAGAACAGACAATAAGGCTGGAGGGATCTTTGGTGTTTTATCGTCCTGCCTCTCTCTATGCAGCCCAGGAGCTTTCTGGCAGAGCAGTGTTGCAGATCTTGAGATAACGCACACATACTGTAAGCTAATGTAACACCCTTTGGAAGGAGGCTTGTGTTCAGTCTCAATTGTAGGAGAAAACTTAAAATATTTCTGAATAAAATGAGACGATTCAGCGATTCAACGATTATCATCTGGTTAAGGAAGCAACATGTTCCCTTTTAAAAGGCTAACTTGTTAACTTAGACTGATGAAAGTTGACCAAAGATAACCTATAGCTTAGCTGAGCCTGATAAACTCCCACGCATTGCTGGGATTTATATCTTGCTTTAATTTAATCTGATATTATAATTGTCATAAATAACAACCACCATCTTATCTCCAAAGTAAAATACTTTACATCCTCTGTTATACTGAATATAAATATATATATAGTTATCTTTTCATCTACTTCCAGTCAATCACAGTAAAACTCAAATAAAAGATTTTATTTGACTATAACAGTACTGTATTCTTCAATCTCCAGTCTTTTTTCTCTGAAAATATTTTACTAATACTTTTTGTTGTGATACAGACAACAGTATGAGGAAGTGTGTGTAGGTATAATGATACCTTGTGTGTTTGTCGGTGGTGAGGCTTTTCTTGTTGGCAGTTCCGTCTTGCTGTAGGGCCTTTTCTAGTGAAAGTGGTGTGTCCCGAATTTGTAGAGACATCACTAAGGTATCCTGACTGACAGGCAGGGTCTCCTCATCCCCTCCCTGTTGGCCCAGGTGCTGCTTGGCATAGTCGAAACCCTGGACCGGCTGATGGACAGGTTGAGTGCAAATAGAGATTGACAAAAGAGACAGCTTAAGTAAGATTGATTTGCTTTCACATATCTGTAGGCATAAAAAAGTGATTGATTGGAGATACAAAGAGATATACATTAGTCAACCAGAAGTGTCATGTAGACACACATCTTAAAATAGCTCAAAAGTGTATCTTTTTAAGAGATGTCCAGAGGACTTAAGGAACAGATAAGGAAGACTACTGCGGTGCTGTGTCTTTAAATAGATAAGCACAGATTCAACTGAGGCCCTTTTTCATCTTCTTCCAAATTCTTGTCAAATAAATGACTCGCAGTGGGCGGTGACAAGATGAGATCTGCAGACTTTCACAGAAATATAGTAGTTAAACATTAGAACACATTAGAGGATGAGAGGGAGGAGGAAGAGTATTTATGGTGGTCTACATAAGACTGGATGTCCACATAGTTATAGAGAAAGTAGGGGCCAAAAGAGAGACACATATTGTATCCTGAAATATTTAGGACTGCTCTCATCGCAAATTGTCACACACACGACAGCCTCAATGCTTCCGAGCCATGGTGCAAAATCGATGTGATACTCCTCTCACTGAAGAACATGCATCCGCTCTCTTCCTATAGCGCGTGCACACACACACACACACACACACACACATACACATACACACACACACACACACACACACACACACACACACACACGCGCGCGCGCACACACACACGCGCGCGCACACACAGAGTGAAGATTTTCTTTGGATTCTTTGGAAGTTTTCTCACTAACTAAAAGTGCTACTGTAGATGCAACTGTAGGTGCTATTGCTGTAAATTCTAACAAGGGCACGTGATCAAAGTGTTTGGCTTACAGACACTTGAAGTAATCCAGAAGACATAAAGGAGCTCACTTTAAATTTTCATCCTATCTTTCGGGTTTTTCCTTGGTTTTCACATTGCTAGAAAGAACCGGTTATATGCCATACTTAGAATGTGATGGTTCGTCAGAAGCAACCCAATAATGTTTTACATCTGATCTGAGCTTTTTGGTGTTTTTTTACATTATGAGACTTTGCAGGACCATAAATGTTGTGTAATAATAACTGCTCTGAAAGTGTCACTGAAATTAATTTTTACAGTTTAATATAGAAGATTTTATTACTTTTCTCTTATGAAATTCCATAAATCGAGCAGTGGGATGTGCTGAGTGTTTTCATTTAGCCTATCTACACTGACATATAACAGTGAAAAGAATTACAGAGCAGAAAAAGCAACAGACATGGAGGTAAAGCTATTGCTACACCCTTAATGCAACAATAATGGAAAAAGTTTTCAGTCATCTCTACACAAAACAAACACAGTGCATTAGCACATGTACAGGCACCACCCTCCTCCCCATCTCCATAATAACCATTCTCTGTAAAGCTCACTCTTTCAAATTTGCCATCTACAGACTACTATAAGGAGAACAGGCAATGCCAGCCTTTCATCCAAGAAAATGTCATTGTGAAAGGTTTGTCACTCCAAAGTGCTGTTGTATCCTTGGTTTACATCAGAACAGCAGAATTTATTCAATATATCATAACTGATGTTTGCCCAGAATCCCATTCAAATCCCTCTGTTGTCTCAGTTGAACCCTGAAGATGAAAACACAGATCGGTAATGAGAGGAAATAAGAGAAAGGCAGATACCTGGTGATAATAGCCCACATCCCTCCGATACGCCATCTGAAAACAAGGGAAAATGTGTGTGTTTGTGTTGTGTTCAAGTTTCAAGACTGACTAGGATTTACCAACGTATTAACACAGCACAGGTAATACAGATAGTATTGCGCAGACAATACAGAATACAACACAAGAAACATAAAATTCTGTCACGTGCATACACACAGTCACAAACACCTACTCTGGGGCTGCTGCTACTGATTATTTTCATTACCAATCCATCTGCTGATGTTTCTTATTTTATCAATTAATCATTTTGTTAATAAAATATCAGATACTAGTGAAAAATGCCCATTCTAATTTTCCAGAGCCCATGGTGATATATTTAAATGTCTTGTTTTGTCTGACCAAAAGTCCAAAACCCAAACACATTCAGTTTACAATAATATAAATCCAAGAAAAGCAGCAAATGATCACAGAAGCATTAAAAATGATTAGCACAATGAATTGATCAAAACTATATACTAAACTATAGCCTGCTTCAACACAGACAGATTCATAGAATGAAAGACAGATACCTTAGCTCGGGGATTGAGGTTGCCGATGGCATCCGCTTTAAAGTCATTTTTATTCTTCCTGCACAGCACAGCTGTGATGATGATAATAATGAGTGTTACTACAGCGATGGGGGCCAACACTGCAGCGATTATCCAAAGGTTATTAGGTGGGTTCTTGACCACAGCTGAAAAAAAAAAGTTTTTCACCATGATTGCTTCATTACATGGCACCCATTAGACTCTAAACACTACATGATAACAGTTCATTGTTTGGTTGATCTGAAGTATAACACACAGCCTACTATTTTTCTTGCTGAAACATGCAGAAGCATCAGTCACACCCACGCTAAGTGACAGCTCAACCTGATATACAGTGCGCCTGATTCAGCTATTGCAGGCAACAATCTGTAAGAGAATACAGCATGCTCTCTCTCTCTCTTGCTCTCTTGGGCCCTCTCTCTCTCCCTCTCCCCTGACCAGCTCTGTCTCGCCCTCTCCCCCCTTCTCCCTTTCTCTTAGCAGTGAGCAGCACTGCAGCCCAAACAAACAATGTCATGCCGGGAGCATTTCAGAGAGATTAGAGAGCAAAGAGCTTCCTCAACCTTTTCTTCTACCCCCCTCATCCCAGCACCAGCTCATATTTCTTAACTCAGCATGAGTCATGTGTTTTGGTTTGCATGCCTGTCTGTTAGTGATTCTGTCTATTTGCCTACTTGTCAAATGCTAGAAGGATGCTGTGCTTACGTTCTGCTTGCAGCTGGACAAAGTAGCCCAGGGTGAGCACCATGGTCTGAGAATCCACTGTGTTCAGGACCTTGGCAGCTGACGTGCCCGATAAAGGAATGCCATTGTGCTGGACATAGTAGGTCATCTCTGCTGGATTCTTTGACCCTGACACCCTACGGATGCTCACCATCTGATTGAAAAAGAAAAGGAATGACACATGTTTCCTTGAACTACAGTACACTCGATATCAGCTGTTACTGCTGCCAGGTCATGGCTGGGTTGCGGCTTATATTCCAAAAATAAAACCATGCAGTCTCATGAGAGTAAAAAAACACATGGACAGAACAGAGTATTTGTTTAGTAAAACATTCAACCCCTGGCTTGTTTTGATGAGCAATTAGCATATGATGAGCTGAGAAGCTCCCTAATTATCAAGGCCTGACCACGAGTAATCATGCAAAAGTGTGAATCTCCTGAAAAATAATATAAGAAATAAGCCAACAAAACTGTTGGAATAATGTTTTCATTAGACACAAAAACGATTTGCTGCTGTCACTATTTAACCCTGTGCACCGCAGACTGTTTGTTCTTCCAGAGATAGTCAGACGTGGAACTCCCTGTGGGCTGCCATGCCAGTTTCTTACCTGGACAGTGTAGCTGCCTACAGCAGTGGCTCGTCTGAAACGAGTACCCTGCTGGCCTGCCAACACAAACAGCTCAGCCAGCCTTTGCTCCATTAGACTGGCAAAGCTTTGGTACTGTCCCTCCAGGCTGGCGTTATCCACATCCTGGATCACTGCAAAATGTAGAACGAAAGAAAAAAGGAAGGCCAGATGGTTCAGACAGAGAATAAATTGTTGGCGAGGAAAGAGAGAAGAAAGGAGAGATAGAGGCAAAATGAGAAATGTGTGAGTGACACAAAAACACAGTATGTGATTTCACTTAGACCTATGCATGATTCCCAGGCTGTAAGGGCCTTACGAGAAGCTCATGGTGCTCTGTGTTTGATGGATATGTACATTGGCAAGTTGTTGTTAGGTGTAACAACTTCATAACTAATAACGAATCAGGGATTTGCTTCTTGGAAGCATGGTTTGGAGTTGTTCTGTCCCCTAGTGGTCAAACATCACCTAATGCCGCTTTAATCTCTTCTGCTTTATCACCAGTTAAAAAGCAATAATCCTGGTTGTACATCTTGTTCAGTGTGAGTAAATTCCATCGTCTACTGGATGACCTTGAACTGACTCAGCCTCTCATCGCAGTAAGTGCATGGTTAAGAGCTGTACAGCCTGATGTGAAAGGCCCATCCATTATACAGTACAGCAGTGTGGGTGCCCTTGAACACTATGAAATATATTCATGCTGCTCACAACATGTAGCCATTCATAAACTCAACAGGGGAAACATTAAACAACAAACACAAAGTTGTTGTTTTTTATATTTAGTGAAAAAAAAATTTAAACAATGATATCCCTACCTGTAATAACCCAGAAGTCTCTGGTAGCAATGGAGGTGTTCAGATTGTGGTACTCCATTGCTGCAAGGACATGAAATACATAATCATTCCCCCCCTCTCAGTATCAGCAATAATCAAGCATTCATCTTAATGAATTAAAACTTAAAATTTACTCTTTAATCTTCACAATACTATTTTTTATGGAGGATTTTTCATTAAATTTTCAAATGTAATCATTAGATTTTTACTGTAGCAAAAAAGAACATCGTATAACAGTATAACAGTAACAAAATAACATCAAACAAAAAAAGCACAATCAGTCTATTAAACTCAAAAAATGCACACACAAAAAACTATACAGCTGTCATCATTGCAACAAGTGGCTAGCCAGACATTTGTTACTTGTAACCAGTGCTTATAAAACTGGGCCAAATGCATAAAAACCTCTGAAACTTCTTGTGAAGAAGGGGAACAGCATATAACTTGGTGCATTTTGTTTGGTTGAAATCTCAGTTTAAAGCCTCACTATCACCGCATGTCAGACAAATACAGAAGCAAGGAGAGCTTTCAGCTGCCTGCGCTTTGGCTGTCTCTGTGTTCTTTTACATCTATTTCCTGCCTGATTAAGCTCTTGTGCTGGAGGCTGGTGCAGTATTTGGGGGAATGCTGTATCAGTGGCCTGTGAAAGCAGACTCGCTACAGAAATGTACACTCAGTCATGACAGGAGAGGGGAGAGAGGTGGGGTGGGGAGCAGGTTGAGAGGAACAGTAAGGGCTTTTGGCATTGTTAATGGATAGGGCTGCAGGACTGTCAGCAAAACCAGTCCAACATTGCCAATAAGTTTGAATCACGTGGCATATTAAATGGTAAGGAGGTTACACATGATCTTCTGCTGTTGTGGGAGACACAAACCGAAGAGCATTTATAAGTAATTCCAAGAAAGCTATTATTAATACAATATTTCATATTTTACATAAGCACTTGGGTTGTTGTTTTCAATTATTATTATGGTCTAAAACAGGGCTGCAACATATGGAAGCATGTGAATGCAGGCATAGATGTATGTGTGTGTGTGTGTGTGTGTGTGTGTGTGTGTGTGTGTGTGTGTTTGTGAGATTGTGGGACAGTGGAGTGTTGAAGAGTGAAGACAATGGTGGACGAGACCACGTGGGTGACTCGTCACTTATGATGATCCAAAATGGCGGGCTGGCCCACGAAGCTTAAGCAAAGGGCTAGGAACCAAAATGGAAGACAAACTCTGTCTAACCTCCCCAAGATGGTGTGATGCGCTACACGTTCCAGAGTTCCAGATGTGTGTGTAGGTGGATACGCGTAGGGCGTGTAGTAGGGTATGGATGTGTTAGTAGGAAGACAAAGAAAGGAGAAAATGCACATATAGCAAGGTATACAAGTTCCTGGTTGCTGCAGTTAGATACAATGTATCTAACACTTTACCACACAGTACCTAGCAGTGAACTTGCATTCAGACCTGATAAAGTATGGCTATTGACTGACCCAGCAGCAGGTGCTAACATAGGCAAAAACATAAATCCTAATATCTGGGGTAAAACGCAGTAAATAACACTTTATCCCACAGGTACAAGGCACAAACTTTCATTCAGCCCTAGGGTTTCTGGAATTTAGTCTTGATAAAGCGCAGTTTTTGGCTGCAAACTCAATATTAGGAATAACATAAATAACGGTCAGTACAAAATTAAACGAGCTGATTCTTTGGAGCTGCACACCAACGTTAGTGGATCAGGAGGTTGGGGCTTCAGCGGTTATCCTCCACTCTGTAAGAATGGTGTAAGCCATATCTTTTTCTGCAGGAACGAGACTGATATGTTATGTACAACGGCCTTCTTTGGCGTCCCAAAAATGTGTTCGGAAAAACACAAAGCAAAAGGAAACAAAGAAAACTGTCTACTCTCGACTGGCGAGTTAGATCTCTACTTAGGAGAATAAAGTTCAACTTTAAAAGTAAGACACCTCATGTAGCTGCTTAAGCCAACAATGGAATAGGCAGGAGGAGACCGGTGTGTTCCTCTTATGTGTTCAGTGACGGCATGGTCGGGATTCTTACGCTTCCATGAGGGCTTGGCTAATACTTAAAAGTCACACACACACACAGGTGTGAATTTGCGGACATGTTGGCACTGTTCTTTGTTACAGGCTTTTTTGGTCACATGCAGACCACTTTGTTAAGGCTTCTGGCCTACATGCAGGCCTCTTCTTTGTTTCCATAAAGTGAGGTCCCAAAAGCAATCTTCATTTCCTCTCAAAAAACTATTAAAGCCATGATGATGTGACATTTGTTGGAGTCTGTACCAAACATCTCACTTCTGCGATTTGGATGTTGCACTTGGCCATGTTGCGATTTTATTTTATTTTGATTAAATGCGCAGCCCTAGTCTAAAAAGAGACATTTTACAAGCAGCTCCACTCATATTCCACTTGAGACAGACTGCTGAAGAGCAGAGGGGGGATAAAATAGCTAAATGCAGCTGTCCAGCCTACCAAAGCACCACAAGAACAAAGGAGAACTCTGTGCTACAAACAGGCACTTCGGAGTGGCCTTTTCTGTCAGAGCAGAGCCCAAGGTGGTATGAGAATCCCCCACTGTTAATTATTTACTGCGATAATTGGCTTTGAAGTGAGAAGGCAGCCACTGCCAACATATGCTCATACCTCCTGTGAACAGCGTAATATCACTAATGGCGAGGTTACAAAACAAACAGCAAAGTCACAGTCACACACCTTCTTTCTTTTACTCCCGTCTCACCTGTTCTGTGAGTTTATGCGCCCTTAGAGTCCCGTCTTTGCATCTAGCTGCCTTCTTCTCTTTCTCTGCTTCCCAACTCAATATTCCTTTCAGTGCGTAACTTCATTTTATAACTTAATTCAGTCCCAACACAAAGTGAGTTTTAATGTAATGCTTGCTAGCAGAAATCCTATTCATCGTGATTTAAACCGTGTGTAAACCAAAACTTCTATCTGCCCGCAGTAACACTGACGTTGCATCCCAATGCAGGAGGTGCATCCTTTGAAGACTAGATTTAAGGGATGCAACCCCATTTTTTTTTTGGTTTTGGTTTAGCCACAATCACACCAAAGGCTCCTGTAAATATGGTTGAGAAATAGAACCTTCTTTTCCCCAATTTGGAGTAAACAACCTTCAAACATTATATCTTATATCTGTATCTTCTGTGGCCCTCAGCATAATGCACTGCAAGCTGAGTGATTGTTAACTGTGCATTGGGCTGTCCACAACAGCTTGTAAACTAGGGAAATAAAATGTGACATGGCATTTTTACTAGCGATTTGGTTCTGCTGGTCAGCAGTCACCTGTTAATACATCACATCTAGACCAAAGAACAAACCACAGCAGGAGGTGTTTAATGGAGGCCAGGCATAAAGTCTACTCTATGTTCTTGTCAGTGGCCGGGACATCCATTTATCTCAGGTCACAGGGTGTTACAGATACACGGAAATTAATGTACTTAACCTTAACGTGTTTGTAAGTTGTTCATCATGAGCTAAGGTCAAATGTCAAACCTTTGAGTTGGTTAGTAGGTTAGAGAATAGCCCATTAACCCGGTGGGCTCAGCAAAGTAAAACAGAAAAGTTTAAAAAAGTGCTTCCAAGACTGGGCTTAGCTAAATGGTAAAGTGAAGCCCCTGGCTTTATTCCTGTTTCAAGCATCACCTTTGCTGCTATCCTGAGCATGCATAGCCAAAGCTTGGTCTTATCAAACTGACTGGAGGAATTCAAGCACTGCAGCTGGATAGAAAACAATAAAATTAAGCATGAACAGAAACCTATCCAGAGGTTCTATTTCCAGGTGTGGGCGTCTTCAAATCCACAGTCAATCTATTGGCTGCCACTTCGATTGGAAGAAGTCTCCTTGACGCAAAGTGTCTTTCTAGGCCTAATTAAGCTTGGTAAGACAGAGGTCTGGTTACACAGGATTACATTATGCAAGAAACTGAGGCCACATTTGCACATATAACCTGTAACACTCTACACAGGAGGTGTAGTGTGAGCAGCATGTTAGCAGAGCTGCAGTTCAGTCCTCTGTCAATGTCTACACAGAATGCGTTCAGGCACAGTATGGAGCATGATGGAACATGTCAGATTATATTGCTTTAGAACAATAGCGGGTAAAAGGCTCCTGCGTGAAACACTCTACATTGTGAATGTCCCGTGGCTTTTGTTTACACTAACAACACAAAAAGATGGTGAGTAAAAGAAGCTTAAATCCCTTTATCGGCTGCAGGTGCCCAGTTCTTTTGCTTAACCAATATTCTGAATTTACTGTGAATGAGGTCAAGCAAGAGTTAATCTCTCCTTCAGAGATCAATAAAGTAGCATCTTTATATCCCAGAGTTCTGCATCTCCCTCTGCTGAGCAGTTTACATATCATTCCCCAGTTACACTGGAGATAGAAACAGGCTGCACACTGGTAATCTACTAAGATTGCTCTTTAGGTTCCTGCTGATTCCCTGTCACTCTACATTTGTTTTGCTCCAAGTACAACTCTAATACAGATGGAGTGCTAGGCTGTGTGCCCTCAAAGGAGGCTGAGATGAAAGGCATGGGCTTAGTTGCGTCTTTGCATCAACTATCTTTAAGTGAGTGACTCAATCATTAAAAAAACCCAACTGTGATCGTAAAAGCAGCAGACTTTCAGAGATAGTCCGGTCCATGTAAATGCAAAAACTATGCTCCGGAAACAACAACATGTCATGGTTTTGGTTTGTGTTCTGTTAGTTTCCTGTTTTATTTTAGAATGTGTGTTTTGTTTAATTAAGCCCGGACTTACCTGGTACAGGGGAGGACGATAAATTTTCGTGCAAAATACAAATAAGAACTCCATGTCTGACCCTAGTATTTTGTCACCCTATGCATGCCTCATACCTCCGTGAAGCTAGGAGGCTCAGCTAGCAACTCAAACCGACCGTTTTTATCCACACATCAAACAACAAACATCTAAATAAACTTATATCACAACGTAATTTGCTCTGTGAACACTGCACATGGCTGTAGTTATTGCAATCCAGATATCTCTCATCTCATCCTACAGCTCTGATCAGCTCTGTAACTCATATCACTCAAATCACCAAAATCACAGACCTATTAGCCGGATAATAATAACAACAAACGCACCACTATACATATACATTTACAACCGCTGACTCACTTTAGCCGTTTTCGCTGTTTTCAGTCCAAAAACAGCTGTTATTTGTGTGTAAAAATAACTGCAGGCCGCCATCTTAGTATTGTGCAATCCCTCCTAGGGCTTAGGTTTCATTTTCGCCTCATTGTGCAGCAGAAGAGAAGTGATGCTTTGGACGGTCTTTCTAATGACCAACCCGTAGTAGCTACACAGACATCCAATATATCAATAGATTTGTAATGTGTAATATAAATGTGTAAAAATGTGTAATAACTGTTATATAATGTGTAATAACTGTTATATAAATAATTTGTTTCTTTTCATCAGATTTACAGTTACAGTTGTATTCCATGTGTATTATAAGATATTCAGCTGCTATGTATTCTACAGGATGACGGTTTTGATGGTGATATTGCTATTAAAATAGGCGAGGATGAAAATATCCTATTTTCCTTTATTGCATCTCCATTCACTCTTTAATAGTAATATAAATAGGTTAATTTACAGTTGATTCATATTCCTTAGCTTTTGACCAATCAAAGGATGCATCTAGGCCTAATGGTTGAGGAGTTATTCCTGATTCATTTCGGGTAGGTGTTTTTCCTGGAAACAGGTGTTTGTTTCCAAGAGTTTAACTTTACTTCCTGTCTGTGTATTCCCTGTTGATTGTCTGAATATGTTTAACCTGTGTATAATCATCCTGCACCTTGTGTATTTAAGTCTGTGCCTCCCAATTATTTGTTGTCAGTTGCACTGTGTTTTATGGCCAAGTGTCTCTCAATCTTCTGTTTTTCTGGATATATTTTGGATTCTTGGATTTTTGGTTTAATTTTCCTTGTGTTTGGAATGTTTATCTGTTTTTTGACTCCTATATGCCCTTTCTCAGCGTAAGGCTGTTTATACTCTGTTACTTCCATGACATAACATGATACAGCAACAGTAAGAGTGGTTGAGGTCTTCATTTCTACAAGTATAGCTAATCAATTTATCACTTCCATTGTGCAAAGGTCTAGAATTGAAGATGAGCGACACAGCCTGACAAGTCTAATACCTTGTGTAGGCTTCAACACAATGAAAAAAGAACAGCACCACACAGTCTGTTTTTTATCTAATTTATATTTGCAGAACAAATCATTCCCAAGGGAACACAAAAGCTACTTATGTCTTGTAAGGCTGACGTATTTTGAAAATGCAAATTGTAACTTACGCTCAGAAATGACAAGTGGTGGATAGAAGAGGAAGTAGCCCACCAGCTCAGCTGACAGCTGACCAAGGAGGTTTGAGGCAGTGGTGCCATTAAGGAAGACAGTCCCATTCTTCACAGTGTAGACCAATGACACAGCAGGAGAGCCTGCTGCCTGGGAGACACTCAGCATCTGGGTAGAGTACAGGATCAGAGTAAGAGGAGGGCACAGAAAAACATTTATATATGTACAAACATTTAAAATGCTTGGGATTATATTATTCAAATACGCAAGTCTAAAAGATTAGTACAAATCTTGTAAAACAAAATGACATAGTAGAGATGACAAACATCAAAAAATCAATTATTGTCTTGGATCATCAAAAACGAAATCATCTAGAAGCACAACGGCTGGTAAAATTGGCAAAGCATGAAAGACTGCTAAAATATTGTAGTATTTCACCCATGCAAAACCATGAAATTAGCTTTAATATAGGATGCACTTTAATGTGGCAGCTCATTAAAATGAATACAAACATTGTCTCCATGAATGTAATTCATTTGCATCTGAGCAGCAGCTCTTGTTTAAAAGGCAAAGCCTGATACACTGAGGGACAATAGTTTGCATCTGTTTGTAGCTGCCAAATCACCTAAACCACATTGTGATATTGATATGTAAGAGGGGACAAAAACAGTTGAAGTTACAGCTATTCTAATATGTTGCAAACAATATTTAGTCTTTGCTCTCTACACCTCCTATGTAGGAGAAAGTCTGGGTTACTGGATGGTTAGGTATACATGGTGTAAGAGCCATTTTGGCATATATGGTGATTTGCTAAATTGTTGTTAATCACATGCTATATGTTCATGGGTTATGCTGCAGAAGTTCTTTGTGTTTTTGATATTGTGTTTTTGTAAGTGTTGATTGGGTGGGTGAGTAATTTCGGGGCTGTAGGAAAAAAGTAAGGGAGAGTTTAGGAGAGATCTGCAAGAGCCCTGCATCGTAACAAGTTTTTGACCATGTTATGCAAAATGTTTTTTAGTAACTTTTGATGGACTGCACTGGGCTGGTAATGGACCAAGCCTTTTGTATACTCTGAATTAAAAAGGTACACTCAAACCTTTTCTTGACTCTTTAGGAGTTTTGGGTACATTGGGTACTCCTGGAGTGTGTATATTGGGACACACATGGGTGGACATGCGTCAGGCTGGGATGGACTTCTTGCAGAATAGTGGCCTTGGACTTTGTCATTGAAAACGGCCACGATACATGGCATTGTCAAAAAAGTGACTCTCTGAGTTAGACCTCAGATTGTTTTGATCCATTTAAGTACAATGACACTGTACACTGGACACATTGCAACAATGTGCATTGTGACGGCATTTTGTTAAAAATCACAGCATGGCCACTGCAACAGTAATGAAGAACAGGAGTGCAACATAAATGTTACAACACAGTACCTGAACAGAGAGTCTGCTGTTGGTGTTAAGCACTTTGGCCTGCGCTTCAGAAAACACCTTCTCAAGCCTCTGTTCCATCATTTGAGAGAACCGACAGGACCGGGGATCATCTCCTGCTCCCACAAACTGCAGCACTGTGACATAAAAGCAAAATGAGCTCACAAAACTGTACACGGGAAAAACTATTATTTGTCAGGATGCTACAACTTTGTGTTTTGCTATCTTTGGGAACACACTTACAATATAATTCTGACTCAATGTGGAATATTGTCAATTCCTGCTCTGATGTTGTAACACAAGATTTACTTGATTGTCACCTACTGCCACTGAATTTGCATCAGTGCACAATCACAGCAGGAAAAAATAACAGTAATAAATAACAGCAGTAGGCTGTCTCTAGCTGATCTCTGACTTATTTTCTGCTTTCATCCTGACTGAACACTAGCTGACCTGTTTTCAATTGGAAGCCAGGGGCTGGGCTGGGTCTCCATGATGCAGCTGGGAGGGGCAGGGCTGTTACCATGGGGAGGTATTGTCGCAGGTCTGCAATCAGCTTGTCACGGCCATAGGAGTCCAAGGCTTCCAGCACTACGGAGGGAGGGTAAACCATGTCCCCTCCAGTCACGTGATAAGCCACTGTCATGTTGGGAGAACCAAATACTGTCTCCACCTGAGAGGGTAAAGTAGAGAAGAGAATTAAATTTCTTTGAAGAACCATATTGGTAGTTTTTTACCATGTTTTAGCCCATGAATTACATAATGCTTATACCTAAGTTTGTCACCTTAAAGAGTAACCACACCCAATAATGAACCATTATGTTTTCATTACCTTAGAATGAGACATTTATATCGCCGCGGGCACCCCCTGCTGTGGAGGTCGCCGTATTTTGTCGTCATGTTTCTACCATAGCCGACAACGAAGAAACAGCGCTAGAGAGCGCGTTTCGTCATCACAGCGTTCTTCTTCTGCTTGTGTAATTCCGGTAGTGTAGACGCCCGTCACTACATTGAATATGTACAAAGAAGAAGAGGAGGGACTAATAATAATAGTAATATCCAGTCTCCGAGTAGTCTTCTGGTTTATTAGAAGTAAGAAGAGAAGTGACATTTGGACAACTGAAGGAGCACACACGTGTTATTTAGCACGAGAGCCGACAGCCAGACGGAGTCGGGACAGACAGCTAATGGCAGAAATCACGGATTTTGTGGATTTTCCCAGACGGAAGGCTATAACATTAATGTGCGACAGATGTTTTCAAAGCAGAGCTGAAGTTGTCTGTTTTCTGCTGGACAGGTAATTAACTTTGTTTGTCAGACTTTAGTGATGCAAATGAAAACTGTTGTTTGATAGCTTTAGCTAGAAGCTGGCCATAATCACAGAGAGCCATGACGTGTTTCCCCTGTCAGTGGTGTGAAATATGGATTAATTTCATGGAGCCTACTTATTCTCCAGCCTGTGGTTTGGCTTTGAGACAATCAGCTGATCAGTAACGTTAATTGGCAATAAAACCCTAACGTTAGCTTAGAGCATGGAAGCATCAGCCAGCTAAACTTTTACTGACTGGTAGAAAAACATTTATTATTAGTTGGATTTGTTTATTCTCCAGCGCTGTGCTTTGGCTTGTGGTGTTATGTTAGTTGGATTAATTTCATGTAGTTACTCTCTCTCTCTCCAGCGCTCTGTTTTTGGCTTTGTATGTTACATTCGTGAGAATCAGCTGATCGCTAATTGGCAATAAAACGGCAGATTCCAGCATCGAAGCTCAGATCAGCCAGCTAAACTTTGAAAAAATATGTGGTTAGATTGAAATTTCATGCAGTTCTTCTCCAGCGCTCTGTTAGGGCTTTACTACGTGGACAGAAATGCGTTGTTACCTTCCTGAGACAAACAGCTGATGTTATTAGAATATTATTATAATATTATTGGTAATGAGACGTTAACCGCAGGAAAGCTCAGATTAGCAGCTAAACTTCAGATTTTACTGCCCTGGTGGAAAACATGTATTTCTTTTTACTGCTAATGGTGATATATAACAAGACCGTGTCCCTATCAACTGACCAATGATGAATACTTTTCGAATTTGCATTAAAAAATGTTATTGGATATTGCGTCCCACTGTGCACACAAATATGTAATTTGTACTTTCACATGCTAAATGCCCATTAAAACGTTGCAACGTTTTACCACAAGCTGAAATTATGGCTGTCAGTACTGCTTTGTGTTTCTGTTGTATTAAGACATTTTGGTAATATTTGCAGATTGCTTATCTAATTAAGCAAAGCAAGAGGAGCCTTGATTATCACCAGCCAATGCCTTTGTAAACTTCATGTATTATGTGGTTTATAATGGACTGTGGTAAAGAAACAGTGAGGCTTACATTGTCCTGGTATCTGTCAGTGGTCATACTTGATGCACTAGATGTGATAGTGTTTAGTCCAGATGAGCCAACCCTCCCAAGATGTAAAATAAAGTATTACAGGAGTATGAGACATCATGAACATGTGAAAGGAAATGTAAATTCATTTCTTCAAGTGGCTGTTGTTTATTAATGAAAAGGTAATAATGATATTCAAAAAAAATTTGGTTTTATATAATTTCTTAACACATCTATCTAAAGAATGAATGGCAGTCTCTTTTATCTCATAGATGACATCTTTGTCCTGTCCCAGGCACCATAGCTATACTGCTCACTTGGGAGGGGAGGGGGGGTGCAATTCACAACCGTCACCACTAGATGTCACTAGAACGTACACACTTAACCTTTAAGGTGAACCAACCATACTGGAAAGTCTATTTTTGGCTAATCTAGCAAATTGCAGTATACTTATTTAAAAAATCAAGGTAGGTTCAAAAGTTGTAAAACATGTAAATGACAGCTCCTCACATATGCTGATTATGAAAACAGAAGAAAAAAAAACATACAAAATAAAAACCATAGATATAAACAACATAAAACTGCAGTATATTATGTAATAAAACTGTTAAAAACATCCAATCCACCATCCGTTCTGTGTCTAATGACTTACCCTCTGTGGGATAAAAGAGGTGCTTCAACACAATGATGTAAAAGTCAAGCATATCAAATGTTTCCATAAAACTGTTATTCACAGCATTTCAACTGGTTTTGCATCATTACACGCAAAGCAAGCACGGGTGTTAAAGTGATAGCTGCCTCTTTATAAACGGCATGATAAAGTTACAGTAAAAGCTCATCTCGTGGTATCTATCGTACTGCCAAGCATTTTCCAAATACCACCACAAGGTTTGAGAGTGATTTTCTACCTTTTTATATAGCTACTGATTTTTATCCATTTTTGTACTGTATGTGCTTGCAGACACTTGAATATTGCTTTAAACTGGTAATCCATGAAAGTGAACGGAGAGAAACTATTGACTTCTGTACTTCACGTCCTTTGTCAAAGCCACTACTTTGTAGTAAAATGTGGTCAAAAGCAGCGACTGAGTGTTCTATACCAACAAGTCCTTGACATTTTCAAATGTCACAGTAGTGAAAGCTCACATGCCTCTGGTGCGAGACACTTGGGTTTGATTCCCACCCTGACATCTACCAATGTGTCCCTGAGCAAGACACTAAATCCCTAGTTGCTCCAGAGGCGTGCAACCTCTGCCATATATAGCAATTGTAAGTCACTTTTGATAAAAGTGTCTGCTAAATGACTAACTTTTATCATTTGAATGATGGCTGAATTCCATTTAGCTGCTTCAGTTTCAGCATCCTGTTATTGTTCATTACTGTCACATTGTCATGCCTTACTGGGACACTTGAATAGAAGAGAGCCATCGTTAATCTTAGTAGTGACACCTTTGCTTTTCCTAATCAAGCATAGCGTTAGTTCAGGCAGGTAACGAAGTCAAGCTCAGCTCACAATCCCAGCATCAGCTAATAGCAGCCATCTTAAGCCAGCCACGTCAGGTGAGAGCACAGCTGATTCCTCTCTTAGCATTCAATGGCAAATTCCATACAAGGTGCCTATTTAAGCTGCTGTAGCCTGCCTGCCCTTGCTGCTTTCTCTGCAGACAGCTCATAACCCACCGCCACCCCAGCTCCGCCTTTCAGGCCGTATCTGATAGGGATGCACCATAATTATCAATCCGATAAGTATTTGCCGATTGGGCATATTTCATTATCGAAATCATATCGGGAAATTAATTTTGGTCGATAAGAATCAAACAGTGCTAACATGCACCGCTGCTGTGTGCCACAGATAGAGCCAAACAGACAGTGCAGGTAGCTAGAGCCAAACAAACATGTCGTCAAAGTTCGGATGTTTTTCACTGTTTCAGAAGAGGACAGCGTATTGCATAATGGCATCAGTCCTTCCTCCTGCCTTCCTTCCCGCTGTCTCTGCTGTGATTGACTGCAGGTAACAATGTGCCAATTTGAAGCTACACGGCAATCTAAGCTGAACAGTTAGACTACAGACAGCTTTCATTTAGCTCGTTGTACATCTACTGCCAAGCAAATTAGCGTGGGGTGCTTTTAATAACATAGAGGATGAGAGATGTGGACAAAGCAGATCAAATAACACCTTCTACATGTTATGCTTGTGATACAGATGTATCTATAGAGTACTGTATTTTACTCTTGAGCTTTTATTGCACGTACTACAGTAACGAGGGTAGCTGTTGTGAACTCGAGTAGTTTAGAGCTACCTTCACTTCCCCGTCTCCACAGACTATCTTTGCGCTGGCCGCTATGTGTGTAAATCCATTGTATACATGTTTTGGAAATTTGTCGATCATGATGTAAAAACAGCAAAAACATATTAGTGGTATGGTCCTTTAGGCTGTGTAGAGCCAATCAGTCATATTAGCAAATAAGATGAATTACAAGACACTGAATTGAACTGGATTGACGGAGCACTTAAGAGTATATTGCAACCACTCGATAATAAAAGCATTCAAACAGGGGAGAGAGTGATTATGGAACAGAGATATGTGGAGAGAACCAATAAGGGACTGATGGGCTGCTGAGAAGAGAGTAAAGATCAGCGAGACATGGGAGAGACTGTTAAATAGGGAGTTTGTGAGAAAGAGGCTTATTTTCCTTCACTTTGAACCCAAGAGGCCAGGTATCACTGCATTTTCATTCTCACCAAAACTCTGGTAAAATCAGTGTGTTTCGTAACTGTGTGTCATGAGACGTACAAATATCCACTTGTTTGTCAGTAAGAGTTTGACTTTTTGGTCAATTGTATGCGTACATGGATGGGAATGATGACAGGTGTGTGTGTGTTGGAGGGGTGAAACCATCAGGTCTGTTATATAAAACCATTTGAAAGCCTGTGATGACAAGGAGATCCACCGGCCGAAACTCTGAGAGCCCGGAGACTCTGTAGCAGCGAGTCACCACTCTGCCTCCTCACAATTCAGCCTTGTTACCAGCTCTGTGAAAAGAGCCCTTTATTATCACTTCATCCTCTCAGGCTTACCCATGTGGAGGCGTTATTAACAGATTGTATTTCCAGCAAGCCAGAAGTTGGTAACACACCCACTAACTCTATCTCAAAGAGCATGAAAGGATGCCAAAAGATTAACGCGATGGATCTTGGTCATCACCGGAGAGCCCTAACTACAAGACACAAAAATACTTCTGTCTTTTAAGGTTCCAAATGTTTTTAGTCTTGCGGTTCAGTTCATTTAGTGTATCGCTCTATCATCTTTTTAGCATCAGCACACACACATCTCTCCCCTCCCGACCATTTATAACCTATAATTAAACACAAAAGCAATTTCCCTTGCCAACAGCTTGCTTCCCATTGGATGAGAGAGCAGTGTTACTAAAAGGAACCCGAGCAATGTTAAAATGGGTGACAGGAGTGCACTGAAGCAAGACACCTTCAGAGACTACAGAGAGATAGAGAGAGAGAGAGAGAGAGAGAGAGAGAGAGAGAGAACATGTGAGAGCTTTGACCTTCAAATGGGCAGGACGAGTACACAGGCCTTACTCTCAATTATCTGATACTTCCACATTGAGAAATACAACACGCTGAGACATTTCAGAGGACTGCAGACATACAAGTAAACACACACACACACACACCTACACACACACTGTAACATGCACACACAAATGTGCTTAACACTTGCTACAAATTACAACACTCTAAAGGCACTCCAACCCACTGGAGACCAGGAGGAAAGACTTTTTTTTATGTAGGAAGGAATCCCATTGCTGCTGCATTCATACAGAACCCTGCAAACATTTTTTATTTATTTTTTTTACAACCAATTCGTTTTTCCAGCCATTACATTTCCTTTCCCTGTTCAGTGTATGCACAAAAAAAGAAACTACCACCTAGTTAACATCGTTCCCAGAGTAAGTCTTTATCTCTCCATATTACATACAAGCACTAACATACAGACTCAAACACACATTCGTACCTCTCACACACTGCAGTTTAGCGTTGCTTCTCAAAGCCAAGAGGTGCTCCTGATACAAAGTCACAATGGGGTATTAGAGGCTTATTGGAGAGAGGGGATGGTTTTGGCACAGTGGGAACCATGATTGGTTCCACAAACGGCTAATCCACAGTCACAACGTTTATTGTGTGTGCACCAAATCTGCTTGTGTCATTATTGCAGGGGAAATGCTGGGATTGGTTTCCTCCTGAGTTTTTGTTAGACAGTCTCTGGTGTCTCCACTGCAATGGTAAGATTACCTTTTGGTAACGTGTGGATAGTTTTACTCTGGTTGTAAATTAAAGCCTGTCTCTTGTAAATATAAGGGTACTGGAGCAACAGTTATTATCTACAGCACTGCTACAGTCCTAATCTACATCTTGTTTTAGTGTTGGTACAATTACTCAAATATGTGACATCACCCACTGTCTTCTGGGACACAGTCAGTCAACCTAATTTCTATATTAGTCCTCATCTCTTTTCACATAGCCTACATGAGGGTCCTTGGTATAAGTGTCTACTTCACACCACGATAATAGAAACCTCTAAATTTTTGTGGGGGCACACTTAGGAACCGTTCACTGATTGTTTGATTAGTAGCCTGAGTCCAAGACCAAACAATAGCTTGGGTCTGTAAAAAGCAGTTGTCAATAAATATGGCATATTCACAAACTGCTTCAAGGGGTTAAAAATTACATCTATGTCATACCTCACATAATAAGTGAGATATGATACTCAAATAAATGTGTTTTAAATTAATTGAAATTAATTAAATTCAGAGAGGCTTGAATAGCAATACATTTGAAAAACTTAAACTTATTTTATTTCACTCATGCACAACTTTTCTTCCTGCACAATGTTTTTGTATCTCGGTATCAGAGCACTGGCAGAACTTTTAACACTTAAAAGGCTGACTTCCTTTCCCCTTTCTGAATTAATTTAAAAAGAATCACTCTACTTTAGGTCACATGGGTTGTGTTCAGACTGTAGGCAACTGTCTGGGTCTGTGTATTAATGCTGGTTGATGCTGTAGAGATAAAAACAGCAGTGTGGTATTCACTTACTGACCAGTAAGAAAAGATAATACTGCCTGTACTGTGTGTAAACCAAGCATGAAACTCTAAATCTGCCCTCAAGTTAATATAACTCCTTTAGCTTAAAGTCGCTTTAGGGACATTCTAAGTGTCAGAAAATGTGAGCAATTCTTCCATTAATCTCTGCCATTTCACAGCTATATCATGTTATAAAATTGTAAAGTTAAAGAGGTGGTATTATGCTTATTTTCCGTTCAAAATCCTATTTACGGGTTGTACCAGAGCAGGTTTACATGGTTTAATTTTCAGAAAAAACACCATATTCTTTTTTCATACTGCACATTGCTGCAGCTCCTCTTTTCACCCTGTGTTGAACGCTTCGTTTTAGCTATGGACTGATACATCTTGTCTCTAAAGGATCTTAGTTGGGAGTTGCACATGCGCAGTTCCTAGTTAAGGACTACTAGCCAATCAGAAGCAGAGAAGGGCGAGTCAGTGAGGAGCTGGTAAACAGCTTCGGTTCAGCTGTAGGCTACATGTTGCTGACCAGCTTGGCAACATAGACTGGAGCAAGAGTTTCAGAGTGGTGAGTTGTTAATCTGCAACAAATGTATCTTTCATCCATAAAGTTTTAACTGAGCTCTGTCTCTACATCACAGTAACAACTTTATGTCCATTGACTGCCTGGAGGGTAGCCAGCATTTGGAAGGGAGAGGAGAGGCGTGCTGCAGCTCAGTGTTTTTCCACTGGTGTTTTTGAGGGAATGATTGCGAGTATTAAATGACATGCATTTAGCTTTCATCCATGTGACGTCACAGTGATGAAAGGGAAGTGGATGGACTACAATCGAGCTGTTTTCAGGCAGTTCAGAGCAGAGTTTTCTGTGGGAGATGGGAACTCCCTTTGGGCTGGACTTTGGGCTTACAAACCTATTACATGCACAAAAAAGGTATATAACTCAATAAAGGAGAGGGAAAAAGCCAAAAAGCATAATACCACCTCTTTAACATATATTAAAAGTACCTTGTGGAGTTTTCTACCACATTGCTATTGAGCAGTGTTTATAAGGGTGGGACACACATGCATGTGTACACGGGTGATGATACACAGCTCTGCCAATGGTTTCACACTATTCTACCAATCAACAGTTGGTGGCAGTAACCTACCAAGGAATGTAACAACAAATTTCCTCCCCAAAACAAGCTTTACAAATGTTTTATGAGGAAGGTAATGTATGCAACATTTTTATTAGGCCTCAAGGATGCACTGTATTGGTGAGAACCAGCGCATGTAAACATAATTTAGTTTATTAAAAAAAAACACTCCCCCTATATGGGTAAATCCATGTTAAGTGTATATGAATTTGTTGAAACAGGTGTATTTGTTGATTAATCAAAAGTAACCTGACCTGAGCCTGGGCTGAACTATCATTCAGAGCTTTTCGGAGGCCCTGACTTAGTCCCCTTCGCAGATTCTGCCTCTGAATGCTGTCCAGCCTGTTTCTCCTCACATAGATGGAAACAACTAAGAGATGCAGAGGCAGAGACACAGACAGGCAAAAAGAGAGAGGAATCAAGACAGACACCAGACAAAACATGTTAGAGAAATAACACAATTTCACAACTTTTTGTTAGTAAGATTTTGGCAAAAGTATGTTACCTGTTTTCACCCATAATCTCTCTGTGATATTGCACTGCTGTGGTGGAGCCTCTGTGGTGGTGGTAAAAGGGGAAATAAAGAGTGTGGTGGTCCCCCTGGGAGGGCTAGTTCCGGGGACAGGTGGTGTGAACGTTCTCCTGCTGGTTGGAGTCTTGATGGTTGTAGTTGTCGTCGTTCTCGTGGTCACAGGTGTGGGCTGTGGTGTGGTAGTGGTGGTCAACTGTGTGGTGGTGGTGACTCTTAGGGAAGGCGTGGTAGTGGTGGGGTTTTTAGTTTTGGTGGTTGAAGCTACAGTTGCGGTGGTAAGCTTGGCAGAGGCTTTAGTGGTGTCCTGTCGAGGGGGTAGAGGTGATACCTGAGATGTCCTCTCGGTGGGCCCAGCAGAAAGGGTAATTCTGACTGATTGAGAGGGGGCTGGACTGGCCACTTTTTCTTTGGGGAAAGTGAACGCATCTGCTCTGGATGTTCCAGCGGTTAACCCATCTGTCCCCGCCTCTGTAAGGACAACAAACATCTCAGTCACTCCCTCTGAGCGATCGGAATCGGATAAGGTCAGACTTGGAGATGAGGATGGTATAGCTTGTAGAGACACAGATGATGATGAGGTATCTGGGTACATGGTTGGTTTGACTGAAAATATTATACCAGCTGAATGTAATGTTGATGATGGCAATGATGACGAAGACAATGATGATGACAAAGCTTTCGAAGACAGTGGGGGTTTCACATGTAAGGAGGACGACTGAGAAGCTTTGATACTACTGTATGATAGTGATGAAATCTCTGAAGATGCTGGCACCAGCTCTGTTGGTTTGGTTAACCCCCTCAGTTTCGAATTTGTTGTGTTACTGATATTGTCAGTGTCAGTGTCAGAGAAACTGAGTGCATGGTCGTTTGAAAGTGTGACAGCAGTATCAAGTGCAAATTCAGGAGAGTCAACATCTGCCAGAGGGCGGCTGTGCTTGCTCTTATACACCAATATAAGAGAAGAGGCATGTGAAGATGTTACAGAGTCAGTAGTTATGCGAGACAGGGACATGAAACCGTCTGAGCCCTGTGCTGATGGAGCAGCAGTGTTCACAGTGGAACCTTGCTGTACATTGACAGCCACAGCAGATCCGAGATTGGCTGGGGACAAATTCAGACTCTGTTCTTTATCTCCTGATGTGCCTTTAAAATATGTAAAAGATGGATGCTTTCCAACAGTTGGATAAAGCAAATATGGATCACTGATGGCTACATTTGGATCAGTTGAATTCAATATATGCACATTACGCTCTTGCCTGTCTTCCAGCCTCAGATCCTCATATGATGGGCCATCTGCTTGTAAATTAGAATTTGGCTTATCAAAGCCAATAGAGGTATTTTCCAATTCAGAAGCAGTACTTTGAAAAGGCACAGGCTTGGTGGCTTTCCACTTTGTATATGATGCCATTCGTTTTGTGCCAAAGCTGAAAATAGCACTAAATGCTTCACTGCTGTTTAGACCATCACTGGAGGAAGTAGTTGCAGAAAAGGATTTATCACTTCCCACACTGGTGATTGCTCCCTGAGAGCGAGAAACAGAGTTTGTCCCCATTGTTGAGACGATTTCTGACCAGAAAGCAGGAGAAGACTGTTCATAACGCCCCATGAGTGTCACATCGTCTTTATGAGAAGGACTTCTAAGAGGTTCTAAAGCAGCATTAAAACTTATTGGAGAAAAAGTGATTTCAGAGGGAGATCCTTTGCCAGAACCTTCAGAGCCTTTATTCAACATAAAGAAATCTTTTGTAGTCATGAAAGATGGAGACTGTGTTATGAACTGCCCTGACGGAACACTCTGCTTGTAAAACGCAGTGTCTCTGATAGGAGAAGACTCTTCATTTCTATTAAAAAAAGGAGAGACTGAAATCTTTGCAGCATTTCTGAGGAAGCTCTCAGCAGGCTTCTCTCCATGCGTCATATGAACATCAGAGACTGGTGTTGTTTTACTGTTTCCTGCACTTGTTTCCACCTTGAAAGTCGAAGGAATACTACGGCCAGCTTTCTCGGATTTAATGATATGAGCAGAGATTTCAGCGGAGGAGACTGTCTGATGAGATTTATTGGTAGGTGGAATTAGACCAGATATTGTGTAAGATTTGTAAAGAAATGTAAGTAAAGATCTTGCTTGAAAAGGTCTTTGTGAGGGGGTAATTCGAAATGACAATGAGGCTTTGGATTGGTCTGCAAAATCATTATTGGCAGACAGTGCAGTGTTATCATCAGTGTTGTTCTGGTTCAGGCTGTGGGAAAGAAACAAGGGCAATGAGTATGTAGATTGAGTGGGGTGTGACAGACTTTTATATATGGTTTTAAAGGTCATATCGTTTGCTGAGCTAACTGGCAACGCTGAACCAGAAAGAGACATTGTCCTACTGTTGGAGGAAAATATCAGTTTTGGCGCTGTCCATCCTTTAGGCTCCTGAGTTATGCTTTTGGGAGACTCTGTTTGTGTTACAAATTCTTGAGCATTTATGACTCCATTACTTGGAAAATGAAGTGAATCTGACTCTGATGTGAAGGAGGTTGTTCCTGTTCTGGTGATCGAATGGAGGATGGAACCAGCAGTGGACTCCGGCCTCGGCAGTGTGAGTGAAAGTGAGCTATTCAGGTGTGCTTGAGCGGAAATAGATTTGAGCTCTGCTTCTGCTATCTTTCCCTGGTTGTAATTTATATTGGTGGCAGGAACTCTGGGGCTGCCACGAACCGCTGCCATCAGTAAATCACCAGGATTAGATGAGGACACAATGCCAGAGTGGATAGGTGTTAGCTTAGTGTTTGAAGTTTCAATGAGAGACCTTTTACCTGGCGGAATCTGGGAGGAAACTGTAAAAAAGGATCCAGTGGGTCTGAACGTCCCTGCTGGTGATACAGTTGGATTTACAACATGTGAACTGAGAGGTGCATCTCCATCGTTATTGTGAACAAAAGTCTGACTATCTACTGCTGTCTTGTTTTCCTTTGCCACAAATGCTGTTCGATTTAACATCTGCTGTGTGACATGACGAGAAACTGAATAACCTTCAGGATGGGCAGACAGCAGTGCGGATGGGGTTTTTTGTAAAGCTCCATGCTGCCTTTGAACAGCTTGACTCTCTTGAATGGAGGGAAATGAGGTGCTAATTTCAAGATTATTGGCCGATACAGAGTTCATACCTGGGTTCTGGGTTTGAGTGGGTCTGTATAAAATCTTTAAACGATATTGTCCATGTTTAGGACTAGAATATGATGTATATGTGCTGGATGCTGGTGTCTTGATTATTTTAGTGCTTGCACTCCTCATGTATGGTCCACTCACCCCATGGATTTTATTCACTGACGAGTGTTTAGTCACTACACTGCTCTTTTCTGTGCTGGTTTCACTAGGAAAGTCTGATTGTTTGGTTGTTGTGCTTTGCAGTCCCCGTGTAACAGCTAAATGAGCGGTAGACTGTTTGGTCGTAAGAATGTCTGTCCAAGCCAGAAACCCTACTGCTGATAATGTTGCTGTTTTTGTCTGAGGGGCAGGACTGGACACAATCCTTTGACCGTAGGATGAGGCAGCTTTGTTTATCCAGCCAGCAGAAGATTGTAGAGAAAATACAGACACTACGGATGATAACACAGAAGAAGTGGGTGGAGCTGATGAAGACACTGATGATGACAATGAAGAATATGATACTGTTGATGATGAAAACGATGAGACATTCCTGTTTCCATCCATAAAAGACTTGTGTGATGGCCTAGAGACATTCAATGCCATGCTAATAGCCTGAGGCGGTCTGGTGTGTTGGTGAGATACGTTGGAAGTCAGACCTGAGCTAGCGGCGGAGATCTTATCTTGTGCAGACGACGATGAGGAGGACATTTCTGAGCCCTGGCTGGAACTATGTGAAGGCCATTGGGTGGTTTGGGTCTCATCCCTAGTGATGGTCGGCGAGGTCCTACTTTGATCAAGGCTCACTGGATGTTTGACAGTTCCTGCCATGACAGTTAAGACAGAAGAAAAGGCAGGCTGCCCTGATAAACCTTCCCCCTCAGACTCCGAGTTACCATCTGAATGGACGACCGAGAAAGGCACCTCTTCTGCCACAGACAGGTCAGCCAATGGATGAGCAGAAGCAGCTGTGACTGCAGGGTCGCTTGGTAAAGACGAGGAGCCAGAGGCATCATAGGTGGGTTTTTCTGTTAACAGAAAAGAGAGTGGAAGGACAAGTTAAAAAGGCCTACTTTTAAAGCTGAAGCTGTATTTAATTCCATTTCAAGTGAGTCCACTGAAATGCTTTTAATTGTTTGTCAAAACTCTTAGTTTTGGGGCACCATTTATAAAGTGTTTACAAGTTGTAACTGATGGCTTTGTTAATGTTGTTGCCCATTGGCCGACATATCCACAGATTGCCACATATCAGCAATACTGGCAAATATAAACCCCCTTTGAGTTGTTTTTATCCTTTTATATTTGGTAATGATGCAGTTATAAATGTAGGGAATCCATTAAACAATACTTGTATTTTTTCATTTTCAAATAAGCCATGGAGTCTGCAGTTATTAACATTAGTAAGTTATTAATAAAAGTTATTCACAACATTCTCAACAGGCCATTGAGTTTGAAGCTGTGAATGTTAATAAGTTGTTAATAAATTGACAAGTGACGCTGATAGTTTACGGAAGTAAAGGCTGAACTATGTTCAAGTTGTTTTCAGGAAGTTCAGGAGCCGTGTTTTCTGTGGGAGATGATAACTCCCTCGGGGTGGACTTACATGCACGAAATAGATATATAACACAATAAAGGAAAGGAAAAAGAAAAAGCTAAAACAGAAGACACAGAAAAAGACAAAAAAGCATATTTTTGACGTTTTTGACGTCCTGGCAACCCAAAGCTGTTCTTATCAATGGCTCAGAAATTATCAATAAAGCATTTGTGAATGATTTATTTAACCCATTATAAATGTATTGGAAATTGGTACAAAATTCCTGCTGTCTATAAGCAAAAAAAACTGTATAAACTGACATGGCTGATGCTCTGTCCTATTAACTGGCAGTGTGAAAAATCAGATTGCCTAAGCAGTGTGCATACTCATTCAGCCTCCATGTCAGCACAGAATTACCTTCTCTAAACATGACAGATGAAACCATTACGAAAAGCCAGGTATGTCACAGCACCACCATGCAGGAGACCTGATTCAGGAACAGTACACTCTTGCAGATGGCTGGGTTGTCAGGATTGATTCTGATGGTGCATTATTAGATAAGCTGTCAAAGTTATAATAAATAATGAATTGACTTTCAAATACAATCTTTTAAGTGACTATTGAGTCGGTAATAGTTTGACCTATGTGCCAAGGTGAAAACAAATCACAAATACTACTCACAAGCCAGGCTTGGAGGTGTAAACACATCTTTCTAATAGTCACAGACAGAACACCAAGGGCAGACATTTATGTTTTCCCAAAGGAGAGAGAAAGAGACAATCTTCAAAGTGGAACAAATAGAATTATTCAAGAGATGTCAGATGTGTGCTCAAGTGTAGCTAAGATAACGCTACTTTTAAAGACTAATGGACTCATGTTACAGTGTTTTGTGCAGAAAGTATGCCTCAATAAAATGCAGAGAGATAGATATGGAGGTTTACATTAAACTAACTATCATGAAGATGTAGAACATGGAGTTGTCTCTCATCCATTCCTGTCGTCTCCTCTCCTTTTATTCTCAGCACATCCTCGACACATCCATATAGGGGTTCTTTTATCCATTTATGAAGCTTTGCAGTCCTGTCACACCTCCCACCCCCTCAGCATGTTTCCCCTACTGAAGTGCATCCAGCTAGCACTCACATACAACTCCTTCAGTGTTGGAGGGACATGAGCAGGAGAGAAACTGAGTTTAGGGGAAACCTTTTGATGACAAACAGGTATCCGGATTGCAAAAGAATGCTAGATAATCACAAATCAGTCACTTTCCCCTTATAAGATGCTTAAATGAATACATACTTTGAACATAAACTGTAAAATTCTGAGAATTGTCCCGTGTATACTGTGGAAATTAGTGAGGCCCTTGAGTCCATGTTTTCTGAATTACACACATGAGGATTAGCCTAAGGCAGTGTGTACTCACACAGCTGGCACTGTAAAAGCTAAGCTGAAAACATTTTTTCTGTCTTTAGGTATTTGCCAACCATTAAATGAGAACTGTAATAGGAATCTAATACCTCCAAACTCATTAATAGTTCCAGGTCACTAACTCAGAATGTATTCTTAAATGTCACCAATATCCCAGAGAATTGGAATAATGCTTTTTATAACTTGTTTTCACAGGAATAAATCTCTGAATTTCATTAACTACCATCATTCATTTCTTAAAGGCAGCCCTTTTATGCTGTATTCATGATCCTACTTAATTCCTTTTCTTCAATAAATCACTAATGTGCTAAAATGTGATTAGTAAAATTGCTATACTGTAATATTTAATCCATTCGTAAAAATGGGTGATATAAAACAAGGAGGGAAATGTATTTCTGTATTCATAAAAGAGCTCAAAAATAAAAAGGGTTTTGTCCTGCACCAACACCATTAAAAGGTCAGTCAGTCAAACCACCTGGTCATCAAAATGAACTTCCTGCACCCCCCACTCAGTTTGCCCAGTGGCAACATGAATCTGGGTGCGCGGGACGGAGGCCAGTCCAAACGGAGGTGTGGGGTCCACCTGTGGTTTGCCACCTGCTCTGACAGAGCTGAGCATATGGGAGGATTTTAACAATGGAAGAGAAAGGACAAGGTGTGCAGATACAAGGAGATGGTGATAGATACAGAGAGTGATGAGAAAGGGCGGGCTAAAAAGAAAGTCACAAAAAATGTGTGGTTTTAAGTCAACTTGATCGTTAAAGTAGACAGCAATTTTGATTGCTTTAGTCATTTGCCAAGCAATTATACCAAACATATGTGCTGGTTCCCCTTCTCAAATGTCAGAATTTGATTTCTAATATGTATTGTAAATTGTAAATCTTGGCCTGTTGATTGGCCAAAGCAAGCGATTTTTAAGATGTCACCTTGGGTTATGGAAGTCTAAGAGATTAATGGATCATGAAAATACGCATTAGCTCCTGCTGTGCAAGCAAATAAAAGTTTAACAAACCAAATTTTCTTATTTAGCCTCTGTAACCACCGCTGACTCGCTGGTGGGTCAGTCTTCATTACAAACTTGTGCTGTGCAGTCAAACAGTGACTGTTCAAACCCACAGGACTTTAATTGCAATGTTAGTGTCAAACTCAGCGTATCCAAAGATACCATATATGGCTGAATTTCAGTGAGTATAGTGTGTATTAAATTATGCACAAGACATCTAGAATATTTACATTTGATGGTCATCAATTCAGCCATAAAAAAACACTGAGTGTTGGGTTTGAATATTTCTATCAGTGTAAACGTCATTTAGCTTCAAATACTTGGAATATGCTGTTTATGATACTGTTAGGCAGTGTGGAATAACATGATGTTGAAGCCACTTCATGGGAAATGAAAGGGGAACACTGATGATGATGATGACGATGATGGTGTTAAACAATGAGATGATAACCTCCTCTAAGATATTGATACTCCAAGGATGTATAATCAATAACATGTTGGTTTTTGGTATACCCCTTTAGTCAAGAAACAGCTACTCTGACTTCTCTTTAAAACCTTCTGCAACCGGCACACTCAAACCACAGACCTCGTTTCCACGCTCCCTCTGCAGTCAGCACTATCCTTGAGCTTCCAGGACTCAGACATGACACTGCTGGGGCTCCCGCCGCTCCACTCATATTATACACTGATTCTCCTTTTGCTTTGAGCTGTTTTTGTTCTCTTGTGTGCGGAAAATGGTAAACAAGAGAGTATAATTCAATAGTGAGGTGGATGCAACCCCTGGGAGAAGAGAAACAAATTTAAGAAGCCTGGTCAACTGCTTCTGAGGAAGTACCTCAGAAGTCCCTCCTATGTTTTGGCTGTATAGGGAAGGCAGCAGCACAAACAACTGTTTTGAGCTGTTTATGTTGTTGATATAAAATTATAAATAAGAGCTTGAGTAGTGACGTTGAGGGAAGTCTGGTAGGAAAGAGGTTTAATTGAAAAACAGCATTTTAACACAACAATGTGCATGTCCCCCTTTTTGTCTGTGCACGGAGGCATCATGTCTGTGCAGGGAGGAGGAGGAGGGTGGCAGTGATGCCAAGCACTGCTGAGGTGACAGTATGGATTGGGAGGGAGGATGTCACACACACCCAGCACTATGCCTTTTATTTTTTTCAGAGGGCGCAAAACAGCACAGCAGGCTGAGACACGCATCAGCTGTCTGGAACGCAGCCCAGCGGACACTTTACCCTGCAACCACGCAGAGACGTGTACATGGTATTAAAAGAGATGTTCTTTCAGTCATCCACTCATTTATTTCTCCTGACAAGGAAGTTACAGTATGTTTTTGGTCCATGCTCCATTGTTTGTTTGTGGCCAAGACGACAAGGAAATTTTAAAGCCAGACTGTAACATTTGAAAGAAGGGACAACAAAGTCTTCTTCTCAAATGAAGAAGTGAATTTATAAACAAAATAACACGCCCTTGCTCAATTCAACAGACACACACACTACTACAGCCCTACTTGGTCTGTTTTGACCAGTAGATTATGGTGGCTAATAAAATATCGGCAAACTTTAGATAGACATTGTTGTGTCAAGCTATATTCTTCTACTGTTGTACTACATATCAGCATTTACTATTATCCATGTGTGGTGTTCGGCAAATGTTACATAGACTCGATTTTAAGTATTTATTAACATTGCAGTATAGGGCATTTGTTATCAAAGACTGAACTCACGTGAAAGGCAAAGTTCTGATATGCAGATTGACACTACTGTCGTTCACCATGTGCATTTTGCAGGTTCGGATGCAGATCCAATGGCAGATTTACAAAACATGAACATATTTTCCAGATTGTGTAGCCTTGGTGGAACACACTCCATGCAGAGTGCTTTCTAGTTAATGAATCTTTTTTTGTTTTGTAACTGTCATCCAAACTGCACTTCTAACAACTACCACATCTAAGCTTGGTTTTATCAATCATATTCAGAACATAGCCACCCTCTGACACCAGTGGTCTCTCCCGTTCATTGATAAAATGATAGAAAACAAATGCTTGAAGTTAAAAACTGCTG